AGTGGTTCAGTTGGAAGGTTTGGAAAACGCCACAGCACGCACTTTACTCGGCAAACTCATCAACGTGCTGCTGGCCGTCATGGCGGTACTCCTAGTGTTCGTCTCGACGGTCGCAAATTGTGTAGTACCACTGATGAAAACACGTAGCCGTACACTTTCCACATTGCTCCTTGTTATAATCTTGGCTTTCTTGTGGCGGAATTGGGAAGCTATGTCGCAGTACCTGGACCGATTTCTGCTGCACCCCAGATGACCTGCAGGGGCGCTGCTGTTTTTGTCATTTCATGAAGGGACTGGAGGGCGGGAATTCAAAGATTTTGATTCAAAGATGGAGACTAACACTGCCTCAGTTGCACTTAGTACGGAGGGATGAAGGGATGCAGCACAAGAGTGGTGGACGGACAAATCCTACAACCTCTTTATCTCGTTTTTTTTTTTTTTTTTTTTAACGAAGGAGTGAATTTGTTTACATTTTGATGATCTCTTTCTGTCTACATGAAGTTGTATTGCTGAGTTTCCTATTATTTGTTGTTGGAAATGATGCAAGTCGTGTTCATTGTTCTCGTAATTGTTAGGATATACATTTATGCAATTTCCTGAGTGTTGAGTTGCATTGACTTGACTGGAGTGGTTTTAACATGCACTGGATGGAGATCTCTCTCCTCGTTTTTAATACCATAGTAACTGATCGTTTCACTCCTAACTTTAAGCTGTGTTACTCATTTCTTTTAGTCTCTTCTACTGTCGTCTTGCTCTTTCTCATACGTGCATCTCTAACTCGGTTAATTTCCTGTGCTCATTTTCTTCACTCACTCTTCACTCAAAACCGTTTGCTGCTGTTTGGACTTCACTGCAGTTGTTGCTGAATGAAGGAAAAGATGGATTCTGGTGGAGAGGAGGCATCTGGAGTTTGTCCGAATGGGGTGAGCCGAGTCGGCCCCTCTTCATCTTCGGCTCAATGCCCTCCTAGAGGCACAGTCCCCTGGTATATGAACAGAACGAACATACTTGAAGAGCTAGAAATGCTCAAAGACTCTCAGTGCTTCCGTACTGTTTCTTATAGTGACGATGAAATAGTCCTTTTTAGTTTTTTTTTATTTTTTAAAATGAAATTAATAAACACGCTGTTTTAAAATTGCAATGTCGCGTGATTGAATATTTGTGCTTCTATAGAGTTGTAATGCACCCAGAGTGCAGAAATCTGCTTTCACTTTTCAGATGATTGTTTTATCATGCATCTGGTTATGATTTTTTGCATAAGCAAGCCATTTCATTTGAGCTGAAATGTGTTGATAGATTATATATGTGCATTTTCTCGCCAGACAGAAAGGTGCAGACGTCCGGTTCCTGTAAGTATGCAGAGTTTTTGTTAAAATTATTCATATTAACACTTCTGCTATTGTGCAGTAAGCAGTGTCATCTTTTCAAAATTTTATCTTGGGGTTTAGACATAATATTTGTAAATATTATTTTATAATCTGGCTTTATAGCTTATTCTTAAAGGATCATGAAACCCCAAAACCCCATAATCAAATTTTTTTTTTTTTTTATGTGAACAGTTATATACAGGTTCCACACAGAGTAATAGCACTCAACAAGTAGAAACTGGTTATTTTTGCGCTTTCTGGAGCTATTTGTCTTCTGGTTTGAAAAAAGCAAGGCTGAAGAAATATCAGGAAATGTGAGGTAAGGCGTCTACATCATCAGTTTCTGAGCTTTTTTCCACATTTATGAGAAAGAACTGCAATCACTGCGCCGTATTATGCATAAGCGGTTTTATCACAATGCACGAGAAAGTATCACTGCTCTCTTGTCAGTTTAACCCTCATTGTTGTCATTCAGAAACATGGGTCGTAAGTGTGTGTTTCCTCGATGCGAAAACTCAAAAGTATTGTTTGCGTTTCCCCGCGACGCGGCCAGAGCTGAAGCTTGGGCTCAGGCGGCTGGTTTGCTGTGGTGTACCAACACTCATGGGAAATATGTTTGTAACAAACATTTTACACCGGAAAGCTTTGTGAATTTTGGACTGGTAGAATCTTTTAAAGTAAGATCTGGTCCCAATTCCTTTTGCTTTTACCGTCTCCACAAATAAGGTAAGTGTTTGTTGAAATATTCTTTTTTGTGTGTGTGTATTTAGATGGAGCAGATATTGTCAAAGTTAACCAGTTACTATGTAATTTTCTGTGATCTGGGTAATTGTTATCGTATTGTATATAAAACGCAATGCGTGTTATTAAAAGTACCTTTTAAGCGAAAAATCTGCATCAATCAATGTAATTACACGAGGCGGCTTTGAATCAACACCGGCCCGAGGCATAAGCGAACTAAGCGGCTGCTTGGGGCCCCTTGGCCACCAGGGGGCCCCCCAATCGAGTCGAAAAATCGAAAAATATTTTTTTAGATAACTTAAACAAGTGACATAAATGAATGAATTAATATGAATGAATGAATAATTAAAGACAAAAAAAATTCTGATTTCATGATCAATATACCTCCCTAACAACTGCTGCTGTGTCTGCCAGCGTTTAAGTCATGCGCATGTCTATTCTAGACACCTCGCGCGTGCATAGACAATCGTGCGCAACTGCGCATAGTCGCGGACTCGCGGTAATGTTAAGGCATGTCACAAAAAAGGACGTATCCCTCTGGTGCCGAAAATAGAACGAAGAAAATGACACAGGAGGAGAAAAAAAGAGCAAGATAAAAGTATGTTTGCATGATTACTTACGGTATGTTTTGTGCAGCAATTGACCCATTCCTATCTACGGCAAGCCCCGAGGGGAAAAATACATTGCATAGACACATACAACGAGCGCCAGTACATCATTACCGGTATTATAGTAACAGACTTTGTTGAATTCTGTCATGTACAATCTAACAAAGTCTGTTACAATAATAATAATAAAAATAAAAAAAAGATTTTGTGGACAGTTACTTTGTATTGAGACAGTTGAGAAATAATAATATTTTTTACAGTTTTCAACAATAATTGTCATTGTTGAACCCTTGCTCTTATTATGTTTTTGATTTCTCAGTTTTCTCAAGAGTTAGTAAAAGAGTAAAGTAAAAGTTAAAAAAAAACTATCTATCTATTTTTTATTAAGTATTTATTTTGTATTTATACATAACCTCAATGTATTAATTTTTTAATGTACCATTATTGCGTGACATTTGTGTCAATAATCGTCAAGCACAGGTGACTCCGTGTAGTGGAAGGGGCCCTCAAATCAAATTCTGCTTAGGGCCCCCAAAAGGCTCGGGCCGGCTCTGCTTTGAATCAACTAACATTAGTGATCGCTTGCAAAAGACTTGCGCGCGCGTGCAGTTTTACCGTCTATGAGTTTTACCATGAGTTTTACACGCAGATAATTTTGTCGACTTTCCACGGCGACAGATTCGTCGCGTTAGATATTCCAGGGAGCATAGATTAAAATCTTAGACTAAAATACGTTATTTCTCACTATTTGTAAACATTGGACTCTCGTGTCCCGCCCACAAAACACAACACGAGAGACATTGTCAGCGCAATTAAGTAAACTTTTAAAGGGATAGTTCACTCCACAATGCACATTTCATCATCATTTATTCACCCTCAAGTTGTTCCAAACCTGTATGAGTTTCTTTCTTCTGTTGAACACAAAATAAAATATTTTAAACAATGTTGGTACCAGGCAGTTGACAGTAGCTGTTTTTTTTTCTACTATGGAAGTCAATGGGCTTTTTCCCCCTTCAAATGTTGTTTTATATTTTATTATTTATGTGCATTATTCCCCTAATGAAAAACTAAATATACTAAAATGTATTTCTAATACATTTATTTTATGCTAAGTACTACAAATACAAATAATTGTATGTTCTTAATTAATATAAATGCCCTGCAATTGTACTTTTGGTATAGGCCTACTGAATTGATATAGGCCTACTTAGTCTGCTTAATTGGAACAGCTAATTTTGTACTTAATGTACTTTAGTAATCCAGAAATAGTGCTGAGGTTCAACTAAATTTGAAGAATTTTGTATCAAAATATCCAAAATTGAGTCATATGAGAACGCAATGAATTTCATGTTTTTTACATGTTTGTTGACAATGACTGATTTCTATACTGCTTTTTAGATACAGATTTCAGCTGTAGGTACATTTTTTAAGCAGTCAATACTGTAGTATACAAAAAGAAAAGGAACATTTGTATTTATATAGTATTACTTATACTTATTTTGTAGAAATGTTACATGTTAATTTTTACACACTCTATGTCTTCCCCTAACAGCACCACACATTCTTACATGTCTTCATATTGGTCTTCCATGACAAGCAACTGTGAATTTTTATTTGACACACATTGTTACAAAAATAAATGTTCTGTATAATTACAAATGTATTTATATAGTACTGCTGCAGCTATGCTGTTTAGGGTTGTGACGTTCCTCTATGTTAAAAAATGGTGGTGATTTTGCTGGGCAAACTCCATAGGCCTAAATGCTTCCAAACTTGATTGGTAAGATAGTGATTCCTATTTCATTACAATGCGCCATTTGTCAATTTAGCAGACATTACAAACATTTCATGTTAGATATTCATGGAAAATACATGTGATTTGCTTAAATCAATAAGAAATTAAAATCGGATGTAAAGAAACTTATAAATTGTTCAAAGATCTGAACTTATTTTTTTGAGAAAAAAGTATTCTCATTCGAGAATTGAGCCAAAGCAAACTGTGAAGGGATAGTTCTGCCATCCACGATGTATAGAACTGACTTCTTCAAATAAACACAAACAAAGATCTTTAGGAAAATAATCCATCTATGTGAGTCTATATAATGCAAATGAATAGGTGCCGTTTAGATAGGACTCAGATTAGAGTATAATGTAAAACTGTCTCATGGATATACTGAACCACCCATATATATATATATTTTTACCTTTAAGTTGACAAGGAAAACGTATTACCTTTAATGAGCATCTATTTTAATTTTTACTCAACCCTCCTTCCCCAAATCTGCACAGGAAGCAAAGATTTTTATTAAACCACGGTGTGATGATGTAATATTTGCTCTCATTGTTTGAAATGACAGACTTGGTCATAAACGGCATGACAGAGGAAATAATACTGGGTGACTCAGTGATACTTTTAAGAAATGTTTTATATAGAAAACATGACGCTAGAAACTAACACAATGTTTCAGGTGCAATTTGAGATGAACATATAGCAACTTCAAACAGTAAAAAAACATACAGCAATACTTGCAAATATGCAACATCAATATACACATTATTCATGATGTGGATGCGCTCTCAGACCATTCGTCCATTCAGCACTCAATTGGCTTTATGCCACAGCTTCACTACTTCCTGAACTTCAGCCAGCCCTTTGTTTCCTGTCTGTAATTATTGGACAAACTGATTAATCCAGGTGTGCCTGGCCTCAGTAACAATAATCAGGCACACCTGGATTAATCAGTTTGTCTAATAATGACAGACAGGAAACAAAGGGCTGGCTGAAGTTCAGGAAGTAGTGAAGCTGTGCATAAAGCCTATTGATCATTCATTTGCCAAACACGCTTCCTGATGGAGGATTGGGTTTCTCGAGCGCTGTCTCTCCGCCAGAACGCACTCCACTGAAAACAGACGGCGCCGCCTTCCCCATGCGCTCTACACAACACAAAAACACATTCGTTTACTTATATTCAAGTATGCATTACATAAAATCAGGGTTATTATCGTAACTAAAACTATTTTTTTATATTATTTATTTTTTATTGCTTGAACAACAGTTACAAAACTTGAACAAATAAAATTAAATTAATAAAAATAAAATAAAAATAAAAGGGCCAGGGTCAAGTATACAAAAATATATAAGATGCAAAAAACGGAATAATAAACCAAACAGACATTAAAAGGCTTTGACAATTCACAAAATCATAAATGTATTCAATAAATGAATAGTTTTAACAGCTTTTTTGTTTGTACTGTCCTTAATAGAAACCATATAGTGTTCTAATTCTTTCAATACCACAGAAAAAAGAGGTTTCTGATTGCTAAATTTACACCGATGAATATGGAACTTATCAAATATAATCACCAAATTAATATAAATATACGCTTCATTTTCCATACTTTTTTCATATTTGACAAAACCAAATATTACATGTTCATATAACAAAAGGAAGTTGCAGTCCAATTTGTCATTAATAAATTTAGAAACTTCCCACCATAACCTCTTTGTATACTGACAGTGCCAAAAAATATGAGGTGCAGTTTCTGGTTGCAAAAAACAAAATGAACAATTTACATCTATATCTTTGTTAAATTTGGATAGAAAATGTTTAGCAGGGTAAAATTTGTGCAATATCTTAAATTAAATTTCCTTGACCTTATTTGTAATGATATATTTATTAGGCAACAGCCATATCTTACTCCAATTCAAAGTTCCAATAAACCTTGACCAATAGGAAATGGCATGTTGTTTACTAACTAGTTCTTTCTGAAAAAGTGAACGTATAACCTTATTGTTTTTGCTTGTCGAAAAACAAACTTTATCACAAAACGTATCAGCTAGATGCAGTACAGGCGCACACGTTTAGAGTATGTAATACCTCTACATAAAGAGACAACACCTGGAGAAATAGCACCAATTACAGAGGCAAATTCTTTAGGTGAAACAGGGAAATTGAAGTATGAAAGGAATTTATCATAAGTCATCAAATACCCTTGACAATTCAACAACTGTCCCACCAAATAACTAAAACTATTAAAAGACCCCCTGTAGTGAAAATCACGTCAACGCGCGGGGCGGGGCTTATTACTGCCGGGAAGCAGAGGGGTCTCAAGAGAAGCCAGGTTATATCTTTCTGTTGATATTTTTCACTATTTTCATGTTGATGGCTGACACGTGTTCTGTTGTCGGATGCAAAGCTCAGAAAGGGCAAATGGTGAGCCTTCATGTGTTACCAAATGATCAGAAACTTCGATCTAAATGGGTGCAGTTTATTGGGAATAACTGTAACGTCCCTGCTAAACTTCCATCGAGGATCTATGTTTGCAGCAGGCATTTTCCAGAGAACTGTTTTGAAAATTTTATCATGACTAAGTTGGGTTTTGCTAGTAAACTTATATTAAAGCCCAACGCGGTTCCATCAATTTACTCTGGGAGCAGAGACAGCACGAACCAACATGCACTAGTAAGTTTCTTTTACTTGTGTTTTATGCTATTTAGCCAATGTTATCATGCCAAAAATAGATGTTGCAGTGGTGTGTATTTTGCAACGTATCTTAGTGCACCCATAGACTGTAAAAATAAATAAATAGTGCACCTCGATGTATATTACGATATTATGAGGATGAACTATATGCCTTTCTCCACCGACTTTATATGATATTCAAAGCATTTCTAAGAATGCTGATTTTTAGAAGGCAGTTGTCTGACTCTTATGGCGAACCGGAAAAATGTTTGTGTAACATTAGCAATACATTATTAGCTGTTTGATAACGTACTCAAGCCAAAGGCTAATCACGTGTCTGACGTAGAGAGTACGGTGGCCGAAAAGTGATTCCGGAAGTAAATACTCCATTAATTTTCTGTAAGGAAATTTATTTTTAACGATAACATAAACCTTTACATACAGACCTACTGTGAGCTACGAGGTTGTTAAGCAAGGCTTTGAAACCTTGTACTCTTTGTACACAAAAAATACTACCCCTAATCTAATCAACTATAACAGCTAGTTTGTTTATTATTTACTGTCAAAACTCGATGGAGATGACGTTAAACTTACCACACTCGACCATGACCTCATATGTCTTGCTCTTGACCTCTCCTTTCAGCCCCAGTTTACTGCGGGCTCCTTTCAGATCCTCCTCTTTTACAACTGGCCGCTTCTTCTTCTTAACCTCTGGCTGATAGAAATATCATTTTTAAAAAGAGAAACGTCTGCAGCAGTTAGCACTTAAATTGTTACACATATACTTTTATTTCTAATCTAAACACAGATTAAAGACGTCTTCATACCTGAGACATTCTGTATGGTTGCGGTCTGGTTTCTGGACAAGTTGTGTACTTTGTCTTTTTGTCCTGGCTCTTTTATACCCTTGTTACCAGGTCAGTGTGCCCCCATCCCCCCTTTTTATCATTATATATTATTAGCTCAGCAGTCAGTGTCAGAAAGCCTCTTTCTCAGGATGACTACTATGAACAGCTGAACACATTACAGACAAAACAACCTCCTCCTATCCCTGCTTCACTGATGTATCATATGTTTAAATATATTTTGTTGCTACAAGTTAAAATCAAAGCAGTTGTAATTGTGAGAGAAAGGTAATTTTTGACATAGCTGATACTGTCAACCCTATAAGCCAATCTAAACCAAATTGTTTCATTACAATAACCAATATAATTCATCATTTAGCTTAATAATTAGAATAAAAAACAAAACAAACCTTGTGATCAAATGTGCATGATGATGGAGATGTTAACATGCCATAGAGATTATATAACCAAATCATTACACACTTTTCTGGGGTAGTGAGTCAGCCTTTGTGAATGAGTCGGTCCATCACCATGTGTGTGTGCGCCAATAAAAATAGATCTTCAGTAACGGTTTTCAATTCAGCCTTTGTGAACGTAACCTATTTTCTTAAATGGTTGGGGTCAAAAAGTATTTTTTAATGTTTTTGGAAGAAGTCTTTTATGCTCAACATAGCTGCATTTATTTGATCAGAAATACTGTAAAAACAGTAACATTGTGAAATGTTATTACAATAAAAAACAAAAACATTTTCTATTTGGATATATCTTAAATTGTTATTGATTCCTGTTATGGCAAAGCTACATTTACATTGACATTCTGAGGAGGCACACCCAGTTTCATACAATTCCACCACACTACAACAAAAAAATAATTATAGCTCCATAACAATATGAACCGTGAAGATGAAAATTGGTATGCATCTTCTTTGGTGGATGTCCTAACAGTCTCAGATCCTCTAATATTACCCAGATACTTAATAAAACATGGCCGTGCCAACAGGGTTGTTTACATCAGAAATGTACAATAACAAATGCACAAAAAAAAACCTCATGTCATCTTTATTTTAAGCAGTTCATCCAACATTTACTAGTCTATATTTTGTCCTGAGAGTCTTTGTCAGTGAAAAACAATACATAGATCTGCATATGATGTTCGTGTGTTATAATGGTCTGGTGAAAGAATATTTGTTAAACGTGTCAGAGGTTCAGATCCACCCTAGTATTTTTTCTTCTCATTAAAACCAAATATGTTCATCACCAGTGATTGTATATCAAGAGCTGGAACACATTTGTGTGCGTTTTGTGATTTCACCAGAACAAATACGCAGCAGCGTTAAGCAAAGGATTGAAGCGCTCGTCTGTGAAGACTAGCCTCGAGAGAACAGTGGCAATAAAAGCTCAGCAAGATTTCAAAAACGCATTCCAGCACCATATCGCCTCTTATTTAACACAAACAAACGAAATTAATACTTTGATAGTCAATTGGAGATGGTTGCTTTGTATTGGGTACATCCGTGCCTCACAATTTTTCAAAAAGTAGTGGGGACAATATCGACCCTGAAAAAAAGTGGTACCAATAGCAAATCAAATTTGTATGATTATATAAAACTTTATCTGCCATTCTAATTTGTTAAAAAAAAAAAATGTTTTTTTTTTTTTTTAAGTCAGTTGCCCATTTTGAAACCAGTGTTGCTGTTACCCATTTCATTAAACCCTAACTTTCAGTGCAGATTCAAGATGGACTTTGCTATAAACAGTGCTGGGTAGATTAATTACAAATTGTGGGCCGTTACTGATTCAAGATTACATGACAAAAATTGTAGTTAATGTAATCCATTATATTTTTAAGATAATATATTCTGACTACTGTTTGGTTACTTTTAGATTACTTTTGACCAAACTCTTTTATCACATTGATTTGAATAGGATAATCTTGTGCCATATTGATATAAAAATACACTGAGAAAGAAAATATAGGCTATTTTATTCTTTATCAAAAACATGAAGTGCATTAGTACATCAGGGTTTCCCAGACTGGGGTTTGTGAAGGAACTGTAGAGGTTTGTGATTTAAGGAAAAGCTATTAAGTAATTAAATCATAAAAAATGTTAAATAAAATCGATTTTATTTTAAAATGTATCAAAATAAAACGCTTAACTACATGTAATCAATAAAAAATAACTGTAGTCTGATTACAGTATTTTAAAATGAATCTAATCTGATTTCAAGTACCTAATTTTTGGAATCAGTTACTATACCCAGCACTGGCTATAAAATCACAAGATACACTTAAACTGGATCAGTAATCATCCACATGGGCCATTAGTCTTACGACCCTGATGATTGCTACTTGTGGCTATATTTGTTTTGTTTTTTCAGGATAAACTCACTTCATATTTTGTCATTTCGCATCTGAAGTAAATGTATCACGGTTTAAGAATCTTTAGACAATTGCACTGGAAAACAAGACACAAATACTGAGGAAGAACATCAATTTTTTGCACTGTGATCAGAAGGTACAGTAAAAGTTATTTCCATTGATCCTGTGTAATTAAAATATTGAAATAAGTGTGGCTTTTAGTCCGTGTTTTTTTTTTTTTTTTTTTGCGATTTACTGTCTGCTAATGCTGTCTGGTTACTGAATCCAATCAAAGAGGATAGCTCTGAGCTAACACGTAAAGTCAGCACAAGTTTAGACATAGATATTGGTACTGTCAGCTTTATATTACTGTCGTTGTACATGTTGTTGTACACATAACATCACATTATACATGCCATTTTACAAAGTGTAGAATTATAACATTATAATTTAAACATTTTAGTTTTTTTATATAAAAAGTCAGCAAGAATGCAAAAATCCAAAGTGACATAAAATACTTGTTTACATTTTTTTTTTAAATTGTATTTACTTCTTCCAGGAAAACGGACCGAAATATTGATGAGTCATCCAGCACTACACATGTTTTTGTCCAATCAAATGCTCTCTAGAAAGGGAATGTCCCTCCCACTAAATTATCTCGCTTCTCTTCACTAATCATGGTTCGTCGGTGTGTATTTGGCTGTTCTAACGCACGGACATTATTTTGTTTCCCAACCACAAACTGGTTGCGAAAGAAGTGGCTGGAGTTTATACATTTCGAAGAGGAGGCTATTTGTGCCAGCTCGCGACTTTGTGACAGGCATTTCTCTGATGAATTCTTCACCAATTTGGGGATGGTTACTGCAGGGATAACGTGCTACCTTACATTAACAGACACTGCCGTTCCCACTCTGTACACTGTAGGCCCTTCCCCTCCCGCACGAGTAAGTATTGTTTTCTTCAGAAGCTTCTGAGGCATGACATTAGCGTCAAAATGCGATCATCAAGCTCTCCGCCTCTGAAACGACCTTTCTTGCCTGCTCTGCTGAGTGACGTAAGAACGTCATGACGAAAGAGTCTTTTGAACCGGATCTTTCGAACCGATTCTTTGAAACAAACAGCTAAAAAAAAAAAAAAGAACCCGTTACCGTCACTAAAAGCGTCGGATTTCAGTGAGCGAGCATAGCTAGCGACAGATATGGTGAAAAGGTGCGTTTTAGGTTGTTATCCGCACAATACATTATTTCCTTTCCCCAAACTACCCTGGTTGCGAGCTCGCTGGCTTGAATTTTTGCATTTTGAGGAAGGAGGAATATCGGAGAGCTCGCGTTTGTGTGCGAGCCATTTTGCACCAATATGCTTCAAAAATTTACAGCAGTACCAAATGGGCTTTGCCGACTATCTGAACTTGATAGATACGGCTATCCCAACGATATACACTGTTGGTCCAACACCGAGTGTGAAGGTAAGTAGTAATAGGCTTGTTGCATAAACAGAACGTTCGATATTTCCGGGTTGTCACGGTAGGCCGCACAACTTCCGGTTACGTTGACGTTATCTCCTCTCAGAGAGAGCGAGAGAGTGATAGTTTAGTTAGACGGCAATTATGAGTTTCTCAAGACTAAAAGAAAAACGAATTAAATTACAGCGTCAATCCAGACGAACGTCTTTACACTGTTGTGTGCCGATATGTGGAAATTCGTCGAAATACAATGGAACGATTAGTTTTCATCGCTTCCCTGTGGATCTTGAGGTGAGATCAAAGTGGCTAGTCAAGATCCGCAGGGATAGCTTCACTCCAACTGAATGCACTCGAGTCTGCAGTTGTCATTTCCTTTTTGAGGATTTTGTAACGACGACTGGAGGGGAGAAACGACTAAAGAAAGGCAGTGTCCCTTGTTTGTTTGCCTGGAATGAGTTCAGCGTCCCGGCACCTCGGCTTAATGTCTGGCAACGTCGGCCAAGGCCTCCTTCCCCTGACCTACCGATGGCGTCTGACAACGAGGTGGTCACAGAGATGGAAGTTGTACATCGTGATCACGCCTACTGTGTCACCCCCACTACTGCACTTGTCACACATCATCTGGCAGATGAAAACGAAGCCCTGAGGAGAAAGGTAGAGGAGCTCCAACAACAAGTCCAATCACTGCAACTGCTGTCTCGGTTTGGACTCCAACACCTCCAAGGATCTGATGAGGATATTCGTTTTTACACAAGGTTGGTCCATGCTATTATGCAATTGTATGTAGTAGCTAACTCTATGTGTGTCTGGGTTGCAGTGGGGGTTATAGTACTGAAAATCTATACTAAAGTTAAAGTACAATTACTCCCTAAAAAATGTACTCGAGTAAAAGTAAAATTTCCTTTTTGAGAAACTGAAGTAAAATTTAAAAAAGTATGTTGTTCCATCAATAATATGTCAGTCATCATTTTGTATTATTATGAACATAAAGTTCTAAAGTGATTATAATTTCATTGCAGATTTGCATCATACAAGCATTTCCAGGCCTTTTGGCAATTGGTGGAGCCTGCTGCAACAACTAAAATGGTACGGATCACCAGTGTCCATGCTGCCTCCAAAGAACCTAGCCTTCTGAGACCATCAGTAAGTTATGTTGTTAGTCTTAACATTTGTTACAGTTTACTTGACATATCTTGACTGTCAAAGGCTCCATTATTAATCAAGGGTGTTTTCAGATGATTTGTTAGGGCAACACACATTAATACTACAGTACAAGTGATTTCTAGTGTGTTGTGTGTTTTTGTTTTTTAACAGAGACTAGCACCGATAGATGAGTTACTGCTTTTCTTGATGCACCTTTCTGTGGGCCTGCATTTGAGGGACCTAGCCAAACGCTTCAACATCCATACCACCACAGCAAGCAGAATAATTACATCGTGGACACATTTCCTCTATTATCTACTGGGTTCCATCCGCCTGTGGATACCACCAGAGGAATTAAAGGCTCATCTACCACCTGAGTTTGCTTTGTTCCCAGACACACAAGTGGTGCTTGACTGCACAGAAATCTTTTGCCAAACTCCCTCTTCTCTTCTTTTGCACAGCGAAGTCTACTCCCCATACAAGTCACACACCACTTTCAAGGCCATGATTGGCATTGCACCTCATGGTCCCATCACCTTTGTGTCACCTCTGTATGCAGGTTCCATGAGTGACCGGGAAATTTTTAAGCAGTCAGGAATAGCCAAACTCCTCACACCAGAGATGGCCATTATGGTTGACAAAGGCTTTCTTGTGGACAATCTCTTCTCTGGAAAGGTTTACCGACCTGCTTTCCTTGCAAGAAACAAACAGATGACCAAAGAGGATGTCCAGCAGACACAGTCTATTGCCCGTGTGAGAGTGCATGTTGAGAGGTGCATCAGGCGAGTAAAAGAGAACAAACTGTTTGATAAAGTCATTCCTCTGTCAGTGTGTGGGAGCATTGACCAGTTGTTCACCGTCGCTTGTCTCTTGGTGAATTACCAGAATGGACCACTGGTTAAGGCATGGGCAACACAGAAATGAATGGACTAGAATTTTTATGAATCAGTTTACAATCAGTTCCAATTTCTTTGTTCAAGTTTTATTGTTAATTTTTACGAATCTATACAAAACTTGAACTGATACTGTATGTTGTATGTTTACAAACATACACAAATGTAGAGATGTTATTGTTCATTTTTACAAATCTATATATATCTTTGTAAATGCACTCACACACTCTCTCACACACATACTTGCTCATTTGTTATTGCTGTTCAGTTCATTCCATTTTGATGGTCATGTATTTTTACCCAACATGTAATATAATTGTTCATTTCTGTTCATTTTTGTTCTGTTACAGTTAGTAATAGATGATTGAAATAAATAACATCTTAAGAGTCCAACATTTCTCTTTGTAACACTTTGTTCAGATTTGATTCTAAGCATAATGTAAAATTATTGAGAAACGTTTTTTTTGTAGTTTTTTTCTGTACAAAAAATGCTAAATTTTGACATTTTTTTTAAACATTTTATAACATTTAGATATGAATCCAACTTGTGAAAATATATCTTTCAGGTAGTCAAATAGTATAATGGAGCCATGTAGCTGTAATGTTTCAGGCAGCAAACTTAAAGTTTAATATTCAAACAATCCAACAATCGAAACAAGTGTGTATGAACACAAACAATAACCGGCCAGTGAACAGAGAAACAGGGGGAGCTTAAATACACAGAGATAATGACAAAGACAACAGGTGACGATGATGAGTGAAACACAGGTGAAGGCGGGGATGACAACGATGATGAACAGGTGATGATGATGACGGAGGATACTGGGAAGTGTAGTACAGATGAAGACAGACAGTGAATGTGACAATAGCCATCTAGTGGTTAAATTGATTTTTCAAAAATGGGCATAAATGTTACATTAAACCATTTAAAATTATCCATGTTATCCCCATGAATGAAAGTTAGATATCTGGGTCTTTTATAAAGTGAAATTTGCATAAAATACTGTTGTTGTTTTTTTGTTAAAAGCCTATTTAAATAAATATTTTTTAATCTATTCATAGAAATTTACAAGATATTATAAATCCTCCCAAAACTACACAAATGTTGAGGAAAAACATTAACAAACAGAGTAAAATTGCATTTGTAAAAACATTTTTATAATCCTGTTACAAAATTAAATGTTATTGTCTGGGGTATCTGAAGACCCCAAAGATCACAAGTGACAACATAAATGAGGGTTAAACTGATATGTTGTTTGTTTACAAACATTCACAATTTAATAAATACATACAAAAATAGAACTGATTTACTGTAAATTATTCTAAGAGTAACAGTAAATAGTAACAGTATCTATTTCAAACACACAGCCATGTAAAAATAAAAAAAGAAGTGATCCCCCTTCTCCCTAATGATTTGTGCAACCTCTGCATCTTTGTAGATTCTTTGGATGACCATGTCATCCTCTGCAAACACCACAAAGTCACACCACTCCATTCCACTTATTAGAAGCTGGCCTTGGACCTGCCAGTAGTAGCTGTGCTGCCGTTTTAATTGCATTGTGTTGCCATGCAACTTCAAGTACTTGCAATCAACATAGCTCTTGCAATTTGGACATTTAATCTCAACCAAACCATAGGGAGGGTTTTCGGTTGGGTCAAATACAACCCCGTCAGGAGAAGACCCTAACCAGGGGGCATCAGGGTGGATGATAAACCCACAAGGCCAATAGTTTGTGTTCTTGATCCTGCAGTACTCCTCAATGGCAACAGGTTCAAGTACCAGGCCCCTCTTCATGGCAGCAGTTTGAACAGTGCCCTTCCAAATCCTCTGAGCGAGCTGCTGTGCTGTACTCTCACCTCGAACATGGCACAACTCTCTAAAGTGTGAGGACGTTATTCGTGGTCGACGAACCTGATGCCACTCTGCAGACAAGCTCTGGTCCCGTGTGGAAGCCTCCACCTGTCTGGCCATTTCAATACTTGTCTGGAGGGAGACCAGATGAAGTTGTTGTTGTTCACTGCAAACAAATTGACAGGTTGTAGGCTCCAACCTGTAATCAGCCAACGGCAGAAGTGGAGGTGGAGGTGCATCTGAGTGCAACTGGATGGTCCTGGTGGGTGCTACTGGGTGCTGAGAGGCGATGGCACTTCCCTCCTGCACTTCCCCTAGTGCTGACTGGACTAACGGAACATCAGAACTAATGGCCATGGTGGTGATGAGTGGTGCCAAGGTCGCAGGGAAATCACTATACACCTCAGCCACTTTGAGCATGTCCACATCTGGCAGTTCTCCCCTCAGTGCTTTGTAAAGTGTGCTCCTGTGTACATGGTAACATGCTGTGTTTCAGATGTGTTTATTTTCATATTTAAATCATGTTTTATCTAAATTATAGAAATAACATAAAACATTATTACCTTACACCATTTCCAACCGTCTTTTGCTTGGGTTTGGCTGCCAACACGACCATGTCTCTGACCCGGCCTGGCTTCACACCCTGTTGATAGTAATGGTCTTTAATGAAAGCAAGCTTTGCACACATACCAATTCAGCTGACTGACTACACTATGAAACAGTGTGGTAAATAATGCTCTCAGACTTACCATAGACCTTGGCTTGTGCCAGCGTTGCTCTGTTTCAGTGCAACTAAGGACAGGGGGTACAGCACTGATCTGAAGCTGCGAGAAGTGTGCTGTCTGATAGAGCAGTGCAACATTGTGATTGCACAGTGCCTTACCAGCCACACATGAACACACAGCCTCATACAGTTGCACCGGGAATGAGTGCTCAAGTGTAATCTTAAAAAAAACAAAAAAAAAAAACATTACCAATAACCATTGCCATCTTAAATATAGTACAGGCACAGGAAATGGAACAAAATCAACATTTCAGATTGTTAGTCATGGTAGGCTTAACCATATCATATTAGTTAACAAATGACCAAAAAAGGTCGTTTTTAGTTCTGTTTTTATAAACATTAAAATATGTTAGTATTACATATGTGAGATGTTAGTAGGCTATTACAAGTCAAAAACGTTACATGAATACTGAACATACAGATAACTGAAACTCCAACAAACTTACAACTTAACTTACCATACAAACTTAACTTAAACTTAACTTATAATAAACAACAGCCGTCACAAGCAGTTCCTGGAGTTTTCATGGGGGCTAGGTTAGATATCCGAGTGCTATTTTCTGCCTATGTTACTGATACAGAACCTATCCTAGCAACACAAAATCCCCAGGACATGTTTGGAGCAGAACTGGCTGGAACAACTGAACTATCTTAGATCCTACTCTGAGGTCGTGAGGTTTCTCATTCTTCCTCAGTGACCTATGGCAGGTAGCGCGGACGCTCACTCTCCCTGTCTCTGGCTCTTTGTTTGACACTGAGTTAAGAATAATATCATGTTATGATCAAAACAATTAAAACAATATAATATTCATCAGGCTCATTCAATGTTTAACGTTACCGGTTAGCAAGATAGCTCATAGGCTAGGCTACTAGACTAAAACAAAGCATAGTAAATTAACTTACCTTCGTAATGGTCAATGTAGCTGGAAATATACATTTTAAACCCCTTCTCCCGCTTGCTCTTTGGGGCTGATGTTGAGGATTGTATAATCCTATGTACATCGTTAACGGTAGTCCTTGGCAGGTCCTGCAAGCATCGTGTGTAAAATGCCATCTTCCTCGTTGACTAACTAAAGTTAACGTTAGCGTTCTCGCTCTGACAAGCAGCTGCTCGCTGTCAGACTCGCTCTGACAGGAGTAACCGGAAGTCGTGCGGCCTACCGTTACAACCCGGAAATATCGAACGTTCTGTTTATGCAACAAGCCTATTCCTGGTCAACATCTCCTTTTGTTCGATCGAAGACCGCCCACTGCTACCGGAAGTGGGAGTCTGACTGACATGTAGAACGACCAACCACGTTCGTTTTGGTCTTTAAAGCGACAGTTCACCCAAAATGGGGTTTCTTTCATTGTTTACTCTCCCTCGTGACGTCTCAAACCTGTATGATTGACGTTTTTCTGCAGAACACAAAAGAGGGTATTTTGAAGAATGTTGAAAACCAAACAGCTTTGTTTACCATTGACTTCCATTATATGAACCAAAATATCTTTTAACATGTTCCATGGAAGAAAGAAAACGGATTTACCACAATAATAGACAAAAGCGCAATGGTAGCTTATTCTAATAATGCTGCACTAGGTTGTACGTGTAAAATATTAAGTAAAAATGTCCATGGTTCACTGTTCCGTTGCTTGCACAACAAAAAAGCTTTAGAACGAATATTTGCATTGCCTTATTCCTATACTGCTGCATCTCTCCAACAGCCAATGACACGAGAGGTGGGCTGCCAATGTAATGCTCCGGTTCTGAAGAGTGTGGCGGTCCAAGCAGTACTCACCCAAAAAAAGCCTAAACGGAGGAGTAAAGGTAACATTTTTAACTAAAAGTTCACTTATGAATTAAGTTTTGCATTGAGCTTCACCAGTTTGCTTTCCCTTTTGTGTGGTTTCATATCAGCAATTCAAGTCAGACCTCTTGTGAGTAATTGTGCTAGTGTGTCCTGCTCCGATGAGGACTTCCCAGTCAAATCCGAATCTTCATTCACATCAACACCAATTAAAAGACCACGCATGGAGGATTCCTTAGAGGGGACATCATACAGCTCAGAGGAACCAACAGATGATACCCACGTGCCCGATATCATTCAGGAGGAAGACATAAAGTAAGTTAAATCCAGAATATGATTCAAGGTCCGTTCACACCAAGAATGATAGCTCTATGTTAGCTTCCACACACTAATACACAATCTCTTTATTATGCGAGAGCACAGCAGTTACTTCGTCAGCCACTTCACATGCTTGAGCTCAGGTGGATTCTGATTTGCTCTCAATGTTTTTGTAGTTCCATCAGCAGGAAAAATCTTTCTCAGAGCAATTCCAACTATATAATTGTTCTGTGTTATTTTTGTTATAGATGTATTGTGTAGACTTCCCTATTCTAACACAATTAATTTTATATTAAACTTTATAGTTATTGTTTTGGGTTTTAACAGGCCTTGAATTAAACACGAAGTATGCCATTTAAAATTCTCTAAATTACAAAGCGAGTGTAATTTGTTTCCTAAAGGTTAGTTAAACAACTCCATTGTGAATCGGAGGTTAGGATTAAGCCCTCTCACTGCAATGGATTGGGCTCAATTCCTGGACAGGAAGCAATCTTTTGCAAGAGATCAAAATGTCACACAAAAAAAAACTAAGAAAAGTTACATAAAATAAAATAAACACAAATTGCTGTGTTGACACTGTTTATTGAAAAAGCATACACAAGTTCATAATTTGTCAGTAATTCTAAATCATCTAATATAGTTTAGTACTCAACCCCTCTCCACATCCAATGTGTTTCATTTTCTTCCAACTCTAATCAAGATCACTCTCTAACAATAGTCAGAATCAAACCCGGAGAGGGAATGGCAGTTACATTTCCACCTAGTCAAAACCCTGTCAGTAAGCGTTCATCCAGCAGGCCAGACCAGAAAGCCAGGTTTCAATTCATCCCTGTAAAACAAACCCATACTGTGTGCAAATATGGTACTCCCACAAACTTGGTCCATTAAATGTCAGTTAAACAAACAATACAAGCAATAAGATAATTGGTCCTGTAGTCCCAATTTCATTCACTCCCACTCTAAAACCTACTACAAACATCTTCCCCTTCACATTAGAGATTACAAATAATCTGCAAAACTTTTGCAGAGAATGCATAATGCAAATCACCATTCTCCAAATATGTGCTTTAGTATTGAAATAAAATCAAATGTTCTATAGAGCAGAAAAGTGTGAGGGTGGATGAGAAAGTATTTGGAATAAAGACACTCTGGTTTAGTGTTTGACTGGTAAATATTAAATAGAGGTGAATGGTAATGTTTAAAGACAAAAAAACAAAAGGTAATACCGCATACAAAGAGACCACAATTTAACACCAAACTGTGCAAGAGGTTACGTCCTGCAACATAGCATTTACCCTGCAATAAGTAGCAAAAAGAAAAGAAAATTTTAAAGGACAGTTCACCCAAAAATGAAAATCATCATTGATTAGTCACCCTTACATTCTGCCAAAGCTGTGTGACTTTCGCTCTTCTGTGAAATACTAGAAATTTTGAAATGTCTTTGAGCAATCAATGGGATCCGATGGTTTTTGGGACCGCAACATTATTCAAAATATTATTTGTGTTCTACAGAAGAAAATTACAGGTTTACAGGTTTGGAATGTCATGTGGGCGAGTAAATAAATAATTTTTTGGAGTGAACTGTCCCTTTAATAGGCCACAAAAAAAAAACCCAAAACAAATAAATACAGGGAAAACATTAATGGCAGAAAAACACAGCAACACACTGAATTGAGACAGAGACACTTTCAAAAGCCAAACAGTAAGACAAGCCATCAGACTAGGGAATGAAACAGCTTCCTCTGGATTTTCGTACCTTGTCATTTTGGCTGCTGCCTAATGGTTAAAAACAGACATTGTAAGACCGTACCAACTGTATTATAATACCAGCTCATAACACTGCTGACGAATGGTTTTCCGTAACATTTATCAGCACAATTTCCACACAGCTGACGTGCACAAAACTCTGTCGCAGCTACGCTCACAAACACATTTAGAAACCGACTATGAGTGACCTTGAACAGTTTATCCAAGTCCAAGTGATCAATCACATGCATATGGTTAAAGGTACTTATCTCAGCAGAACATCAGCATGTTATTTGTATAGGTTTAGGCTGGTTTTTATCACTTCTAGACAGATACAAGGAGATGTAGCTGTGTTGTATATCCACATGATGTTTAAGCTGAATTATAAATGTGCAAAAAAAAAAAAAAAACCTGAAATGATTATGGTCCGATCATCTCCAATAGACTGGTCCAAAACCCTCATGATCATCTATGGCATAGGGTAGCAAAAATCTTTCTGGCAATGTCGGGAGGGTCCATGTGTTTACTTGAGCCTGGGTCCGTTACCCTACAATTCATAGGCTGAGTTAGTCATCATGCCCCTCACTTACTGATCTATGCTCTGGTAAATGAGTTGGGGTCATGGGAATGAGGGAGGCCTCAAGTCCAAACTGATTTGAACTCAAACTGGAATACCAAGACGATGCTTCTTTTTCTTAACAGACTTGAGCCCTGTGATTCTTCGTACATCGTCGTCACCATCTGAATCCTCCATTTCGTCATCTGCGGAGAACAGGATCTGACCAGCACAAGAGGAAGAGTGCTAAACAAAGACAGTTCAACTAATCATCTTTTTAAAAAACAAGCAGGTGATGACATTTTACCCTAAAAGGTGGAATACTTCTTGCAAACCTGAATGTGTAAAATAGTAACATTCTCAATTTCTGACTGAGCTGCTCATCCCTTTACAAGTGAGAAAGATGGACTACAGTCACATGACAGATGTCAATGAATATATATTTGACACCTTCATGGTGTGTGGATGGAACTCAAGTGACAGTTCTCACTGTCAAAGTTTCCTGTTATGGTCATGCAAATGTACTAGGGGAAAAAGGGAATGTCCCATCTAGGACAGGAAGAGGGATGATTTTGAAGTTGGCACTGTAGGTCAGGGGAAACCCAAAATATGAATGCTGTCATTCAAAGATGTTTGAGAAGCAGCAAAAGTGTCAGATCTCCCATGTTCAAACTTTGATAGTTTTGACAGTTTTATACATTCCATTAATAAAACTTTATAATTTGTCATCAGTTATGATTTACTTATGCAAATATGTATTCTGTGGTTGAAACAAATAATCTAAACTCCAATAGAAATGTGACAGTTACAAAACTTCTGAATGTGGGCCGGTCAAAATTATTTAGACCAGATCGTTTTGAAATGCTGGTGCTCTCGTCACAAATTATGCAATTAATTTAATTAAAGTTTTATTCAATTAACAGCTGGTAGTAATCCTTCTCCTATATGGCTATCACTTCAAATTGGTTCAGCAAGAGTAACTTACTTCTGATTCAGAGTCATCGTGTGACAGTGCCCTTCTGTAGCGCACTTTGCTGTTGCCGCGAGGGTCGTCTTCTGCTTCCCTCTCCTCCAGTTTGGCTTTTGTTCTGCTCTTCTTCATTAGGAAGTTATCCACCACCCAGAACATCAGAGCCTGAATACACACACACACAGGGCAAATGTTTAAACCCAAATAGATGTGTTAAAACAGAAACAGAACTACCTGTCATACATTTAATGAATTATTAGACTTAGAGCAAGCTTGACAAGTAGCCTACATGGTAAAAAATATATACAAAACATTACATTACATTAAAAAATGCACAATATCAAAATGACCAAGGCTGGATGACATTACCATTCAAAAGTTAGCGTTTAAACAGCAATATGTGTTAAATTGATCAAAGTGACAGTAAAGACATTTCTGTCAGGACCACTACTGTCAAAGATGATTGCCAATTAGCATAAAGTTTGGATTGGCTGGGTAATGCTTTATTTTAAAGTGACGCAGTTACACGTTACTACATGTACTTACTATAGTAATAAAAGTAAATTATGCATAATTACAATTAACTAACCCTAAACCTAACCGTAACTCTATATAGTAAGTACATGTAGTTAATTAATATTACTCAGTACTTATTTGAGTATGTACAATGTAACTGTCACCTTAGAATAAAGTGTAACCTGGTTCTGTTCTGGTCAAGAACTCTCTGCCCATCCATGCAGCCTAGCATGGATAAGAGCAGGCAGAGCAGCAGTAGGGTACACAGAACAGAACCAACATAAATGTATTGCAGACATCATTAATGTTCAATAATTTAAGAAAAATGAGTCAGATTTGAAGAGGAATATTAGAAGGCCAGTCCTGACTGATGAGAGGAAGAGCTGGGGATGGAGGAGGGTAATTGGCTCCTGAGCAATGCGATAAAGATGCCGATAATACTGAATGGGCCTTGTATAGGGATGCTGTGATAGGCATCGTATTCCTATAGTTAGAAGTGGGTCCGCTGATGCGACCTGCTAGAACTAACATTACGACTTGATTTATAAATGTTACAAAAGATTTCAAATAAATGCAATTCTTATGAACTTTCCATTTACTAAAGAATCCTGAAAAAAGCATATCAGATTGACTTCTTAAGGATCAGAATGCAGCCTTGGTGAGGCATAAGAAACTTAAAAAAAAAAAAACTTTTAAACAGTAGTGAAACAAAGGTGATTGTCACTTACATTCACAAAAAACGGGACGATTAGCATGACGATAGCTAGCTCCAGATGAGGGTTCGTTATGGGGTTGAGTGTAGCCAGCTGTCCAACAAACACCAATCAAATAATTTAAGTACAATGATTACATTTTTGGGTGGAATATTCATTTAACTGCAAGTTAATAAATCAGTACTATAATGATACATAATACATTTACTTCAGATGTCAGAAAGTTCAGAACATGAACCACAAACCGCAACTCAACATCCATTAGTATTGGACACCTAACTGACCTTCTTCCATTGTGGGATGAGAAGGACCAGCATGATCATGACCTTCTCAAACATCATGATGAGGATGTAGAGAGCACACTGACCTGCCCAGGCGCTGCACTGAACTGGCTCACCTACATGCAAACATTAGAAATAGAACAGCACTTTAAAACACTGGTTCTCAATCAGGGGAGCCCAGCAAACTTCCTCAAGAAGACTTATAGTAAAATGATTTAACAACTTTGTTTTTTTCTTTAAAGAGCTAGGATTCCCACTGCCTTAAAAAAGCTGGATAATTGAGGAAGCCTAAATTTTAAAGAGTGATTTCTAGACTTCTAGACTAAAAGATCAGGGCATTTTAATAATGAACATACATTTTTCTGGTTAAGCCAGGCCAAAAATATTTTATCCTGTAGAAATTGTGAGTAAAAAAACTCCTTATCCATAATCAGGTATAAACCAGTAAATCACAAAAACTAGAAAGTCACAGGGCCTTTGAATGTTGTTGTGGGCAATGGGGGGCCTTGGAGTGAAAAGTTGAGAATCACTGCTTTAAAACGTGAATTTCTTCATAAATAATCATAAATGTATATCACTGCACAACCTGTATGTGCAGTTCAGTTGTTGGTAGAAACAAGAAAATGGTGTTGAAATTGGTTGGTTGAAAAGATTATTTAATTTATACACTTTTCTACCAACAAATCAGCATTTCAGTCTTCAATAGAGCTTGGTTTCCCCAAAAGCTCATCTAAATTAGTTCAAGATCATTACATGAGAATACAGTGCCTTGAAAGATGGTCTAAAACAAGTTTACAAAACTAATGCCTGTTAAGTCATTGATTAGACTGATTGTTTGGTTTCAGACAGCCATTATAGTCTGTGAAGAACAAGATTTCTATCATAATTTCAAATTAATTTCATTCACTGAACTTAAATGTTTAGGAATAAAAGCACTGACTCAATTTCCCGTCCTCTTTATATGAAGCCACATTAACATAAAGAAGGTCAGTGGAAGTGTCTGGTCCATAATCAATTTACAGTTCCTACTGGACTTTTAATTTAGGCTACTCCAAACAAATGATGTTAAGGTTCATACCATATTCTCCAAAACGCAGTGAATCCCACTGTCTCCATTCAACCACAGCGCTAACGGCCTTCACGCCGCCATAGATCACCAGCATGCCTAGTGTCGCATCCAACAGGAAGTTGATCAGGTATCTATGAAATCAACACAGGTAGTTGGGTTGCTGAGCACAGCAGATTATAAATATGTCGAAATCACAGACACAAAACACTGCGGGAAGTACAATGATGTGTGGGGGGAACATTGACAACGACGCAAACACAGACTCACAGTGAACATGGGTCCTCCTCTGTGAGGTCAGACAGGTAGACATTGGCAAAGTGAATGAACAGCATCCCTATGGCCTGTTTGGAGGTGTCCAGAAACCTGAGAGAGGTGAAGGGGAGGAGGGGGCGGTGAGAGGAAGCAGACCTGGTTAGAACTCACCGTTAAGTCACGAGGGGAACGCAGGGCTACAAAGAGGTCCCCTAGACGAATTTCAGGTCAGTGGAGTGCAGCATTAACCGTGCATGTGTTTAAGTATCTAGTGCTTGCTAATGACACAAAATGGCGGTTTACCAGATTCTCCAGGGTCTCCGTTCGTGCTTGGGCTCCCTGAAGCGTTTCACTGTGGAGAGAAAACAGAAGCTTTCAAAATTGGTAGCAGGAAGAATGTGGCGATCAATAAAATCTGCCATATGAGAGTAGTGCTGATGCTAAAAACTCTTTGCTGGCTCTCTGATATAGTGCTATAAAGACACAGGTCAATAAATGATAAACAACATTAACATTTCAAAAGGGGAAGAGATGAATGAGGAACTGCTTCATCACAGGTTTAAAGAGCTTCCTACACTCACATGCAAAAACAAAAAGCTGTGCAAATGAAGATTTTATTCTAAGAAACAATAAAAGATTATGGCAATAACATTTCAATTAAAGAAATTAGGATATTAAAATCAAGCACATCAAAGAAGAGGTGTATGAACTGATTTTTAAAGTTTTTAAATAGACTTAGACTGACAACAAAAACATAGCATCATGAGCGACCTCAGAGAAGACAGTAATAAAGATAAAAATAAATCCAATTGCTTGCAGTGTTGCTTTTAAAGAGGAGGTGAGAATTGCTAGCCTGGGAAAACCCAGACAACTTCCGGCAAATTTAGATTTGCTCTGAAAGTTGGTCTGGCAAAGAGCTCATTCAAGCCCATTTCCAATCCGTCGAAATCGAGGCACCAATCAGAAACGTTGGGGCGGGCTTTACACGATGACGACAGCGCTGGGATTTTGTAGCCTACATTACAAAGATGGATGCCGCCATCGAACATCACTCGTTCGAATCGCGTCTGTTTTAAGCAATTTGAACGTTTCCTTTTTGTTAAAAACCGAGCAAAGAACAACACTCTAGAGATGTTTCTCCGCCGCTCTGCATACGTCATCTCCTTCATCGCTCTGATTGGGTTTAGGTCTATCCGCGACGTCCGTTGGTGACGCCCCTCTGGAAATGATTTGTCTATGACGCTTTGCCAGACCATAACTCAGTTACAACTGAGAATGGTCTGGTTTTAACCAGGCTAGAGAATTGCTGCTTTGAGAGGTGGAAACCGCTAGTGCAGCCACCCTAGCTGCCAAACGTGACTCAATGGTTCACACAAATAAAGGACAGCCTGTTTCACACAATGGCTGTTTGTTTGTGTACAGCTATTAACTATGTGTCCCCTAAACACAATCTCCAACTGTTTACAATTACAACTCACATAACCACTGAGTAGTTGACACACAACTTAAAATTTCACACATTCATATTTTTCTGATTTACCCCATTCTACTGGATTGCTATTGTCTATTGAGTTATTAAGGTCCCTTCACATCAAGAATGATAACTATAACCAGTTTTATAAATCTCTCTAACTCTAAAGGTGCAATCACATTTAATGAAAATGTATGGATGAAATCCAGTAATTCTATGTTTGCTGGTGTAAAGGAAAGGTTATATTTGATTTGATTTGATTAATGTTTATTTCGAGCAAAATAAAATAAAATAATATATACATACATATTAACACACATACACACAAATAAAAATAAAAATAACATAGCACAGCTTATCTTCCATATACATAGATATAAATAATAATAGTTGCTCGAAAGGGAGTGGAAAGAAGTGTATATGAAGAAGAACACATCATAGAGTGTTCTCACATCATCTCCACGTTATATGGAGATGTTTATGCATATTATTAACCACAGGCACACGGCCAGCCACTAATTTAGAATACGCCAAATTTGTTAACATTAGAACAAGTGACGAACGTTGTGAATTAGGTTAACATTTTACATGAGAATTTCCCCTTGTGTAGAAATATAAAGTTATCCATGCAATTATTAGCCAACAAGACCCAATGTTTTTACATCGCAAAGAAGAAAAAAAACATCTCGAATTCTTTTCTCTGTGTTGTTATAGTTGTGGTTGTGGTTTTGACTCCACTGTTCTAATTAAGCGTTTTTAATTTATAGTGATTTTTAAAACTTGGATATAGTTATTGTTCTCTGTGCAAGCAGCCCTTTAGTATTTCTGATGTAGGTTCTTTCATGTCAAGGAGAGTCCAAAAGGGGTCTGTGAATGACCAACACAACTTAAGAACCCATCTGAGAGGGTGTGGCCAATCAGAAGCCAAAGAAAATCCAATACGGGGTTTATGAACCCTGGCTGTAATTGTGCTCACACACAGTCTTTAATTAAATACCGTGACAGCATTGCATGACTCAATGACATGCCTTAACCTGCTGCCTGCTTCTAGGACCAAACCTTCAAGTCTTCAATGAGTCAACCTGAGTTGATGGAAGAAACAGATCTGTTCTTCGATACTATGATGTACATCCATGTGTAACAGATTATCAGAAAAGAACAAATGTAGGGCGAGGACTTATCCTATATTTATTTACGGGGTTCTCAGAAGGAGAAGTTGGGTAAACTTCTATAAGTGAATGTAAATTCATTTTTGCATTCCCATTTGCCCCAATAGCAAAAAAAAAAAAAAAAATCCCCAATGGAATTTCTATGAATTCCCAAAAAGGGAAAAAAACATTGAGAAATTGAGTATATTGGTCATGGTCAGAAGAGAGAAAGATGTCAAATTTGTCATCGCTCCCTCAGCCGGTGTATTAGAAACGCTCACACACCTCCATGAACTTGTTTTTTGTAATTTACGACCAAGGTCATAAAACAAAACATATAGCTATAGTGTTATAAATGTACATATTAATAATAATAATAATAATAATAATAAAAAAGAAAATATAAAAAAAAACGTTGCTAGATTTATGATGTTAATAAAGGTGTTCATTGGATCATTTTAAAACATGGCTGTTGCACTCAGTGGAGGGAGATGAATAATATGAGCTTGCAGAGGAAGGTTTAAGCAAGACCATCTCTGGTTTAAGCTCAGCCTGAAACAGAAGTTATGATTTCTTCCCTATTATGACGTATTTTCGAGGAAAAAAATGGCTGCTCGAACAAGAACAAATGTAGGGCTTGATTTTGTCCATCAGTAATTGATTGATGGAATCAAGAATTAGCCAAATTGTTCACAATAGAATCAACAACCAGTTACTCTAAAACTAACTACATGTTCAACAGTGTGATTAGATTACTGTAATTAGCTACTCGCTCTAAACTCTAAAAATTATTGCATTACTTTCTAAATCCCATATCAACCTCGACCAGTTGAACAATACGAGAATAGACATGATTTTTTTCAAATAAATAATATTAAATTGCATAAATTACAGACCAAATTATTTAAAGAGAGACGGTTAAATGAAAAACATATATTTTAACATTAGACGTAGATGTTTAAATCCACTAGAATTGTTCTATATTCTATACAGTGTTTAATACAATTACATCAAGTCACTAAGTAACAAACATAAATAAATAAATAAAGAGTAATCCCTTACTTTACTTTTTCAAGGGGAAGTTAGTAGGCCTAATGCATTACAGCCAACGCTGTCTACAACAGGCATTCAGAAAATAGATAAGAGACAATGAATTTCCATTTCATGAAGACAGTTACCCTATACTTACACATAAGTGTGCTAAAAGCCACCACTCCCAGCAGGCCCTGCAGGAAGATGCCGAAGGTGTTCATGAAGTCCCCGTTGGAGCAGCCCCGGGCATTAGGATCAGTGGGTGAGGAATTGGAGGATGCAGACGGCAGCTGACCCGGCGAAAGCAAACTGACCCCAACACCCGCCATTGCGCAACACTCACTGGATCACGACGAGTGTTTCAAAAAGCCACAAAATCTCAGTCTCGGGTAGTGGAGGTGATCGACAGGACGATGACACAGCTATCGCACATAATGAAGGCTCTCTTATGAGCCTCCAGTCACGGTTACTGAAGCGCAGATGTAACGTTATCGTGTTTCATACTGGACCTCGATGCGTCGCCATCCAGCTGTGAGCTAAGTTACCTAATATCTGTCATCAGGTGTGCTGTATAAACATCCTCTTTAGCATCGAGCAAACATGCTACAGACTCAGATGTGTAACATTGATGCTCAGTGCTACAACACACGTTGTCATGGAGACATTTAACGTTATCGGTTAGATTATTAAAGAGCGCGAGCTGTTAGCTGCCAGATCACAATACGGCGGCTTTACGGTTAAATTAAAGCAGTTAGACGATTACGGTTAAATTAAGTCAAGAAATAAGCCGTTTAAAACTTCACTTGCCGTTATAACTGGTTTAGAAACGCAAAATAATAAGCGGCTGATTGGGAAGTTATGCTGTTTTATAGCGAGAGTCCGGTCAGGCGGTCTTGCTAGCAAACCATCTGAGGAAAATCCTGCCACCGCTGCTTTTAGGAGAAGAGTTGATTGTGAATCTGCTCAGATTCAGAAAGGTCGGCGTCCAAACTACTCGCATACGTATTTGGTAAAAATATGTTTTCCGTAAAGGAAGGACACTTCCTTTCCCACTGTATTCAGGTGCCGTTTCCACTCATTTACGCGACAATCTACTGCGTCATCACTGTGTCACGTCGCACTAGAGCATGATGGGATATGTAGTTTTAAAAGATCGCAGCAGGTGCAGTTCATGAAATTCTAAAATGAATCTTAGAAATCACTTACTGAACGACAAAATCAATCTATTTAAATTGTGAAATTGATTTATGGAACCTATTTAATCAATTGGAAGTTTCAAACAATAAAGTCATATCATTTAATATATATTAGGCTAAGTATCAGAAAAGTTGAGGGGTCTGGTTGTTACAATTAATAATACGTGCATATTTCTTTAAGTGCTAGTTTAAGTAAATTCCCTTTTATAACATATAAATAGACTACCATTAAGACATTGACATTTTTATTTAGGAAGGATGCATTAAATTGATCAAAAAGAACAGTAGACATTTATAATATTACAAAAGATTTCTATTTTAAATAGAAATGTCAAATTTGCTGTTCTTTTTTAACTTTCTATTCATCAAATAATCCTGATTTTTTTTTAGCAGTTTACACACACACACAAAAATATTATGCAGCACAACTGTTTTCAATTTTTTTATTGAGCAGCAGATCAGCCTCTGATTTCTGAAATATCATGCGACACTGAAGAGAGTAATGATGCTGAAAAAGTCAACTTTGCATCACAGGAATAAATTACATTTTAAAATATATTAAAATAGAAAACAGTTACTTTAAATTGTAATACTATTTCATAATATTACTGTTTTTACTGTATTCTTATCAAATAAATGCCATCTTGGTGAGCATAGGAGACTTCTTTCAAAAAAACGTAATAAAAATCTTACCAACCCCAAATGTTTAAACAGTAGTATACACAAGAGAGACCATATAATTATAATGCAACATTTACCTAAATGTTAATGGTCTATAAAGGCATATTCTAATCTTACATTTAGTTTTTTTAAGACCCCATCCACTTTCTTTAAATTTGCCCCCTGAAAAAGAAACCAAAGGCAAGATTCTGTTCATTTTATTTTCTTTTAAATAACATTTTCCACCAACATATAATCGAAAGTAAAGCAATATTAATTCAACAACCTTTAATTAAACGGGTGAAAAACAGGAAATGAACAAAACGGAATGTGGCAAGACGAGGTTCCAAATTCATCTTTCTCATTCCAGCACAAATACTTAAAGAAGGGAAATGGACTGTTAAATCAAGGAAAGGGAGACTGTTGCATATCTCATTACCAATTCAAATACAATCCACAGATAATAAATCAAATGATTTTATCTGGTTGTGTAGGGGTATAGCTTTGCAATGCAAGACCAAACCAGTTATTTAGACCATTAAAACATAGAGGCCCCTGAAATTATTGAATGCAGTATTTGCATTTAAACACAGATCCTGCATTCTACTTGATATTAAAAAAATTACTTTTACAAGCAGACAGGTTTGTAAGAATACAAGACTCTTCAATTTGGTGTTGTTGATAGACCCTGGATTTGCCACAATTCATATTTTCCCTATCACAGTCAGTGACATAACCTGAAGTATTTGTGTGCTTATGTCTTAACCAACACCTCATTACTTTTTATTACTCTGCACCTTTATTTAATAATGCATCTTTAGGATGAGCAAATGCTTATTAGTATTTACAGAAACCAAAATGGCAGCATCAGGCATATATCATGCCCCATCTTTTGCACTGTTGTGTTACAGTGTAATTCCCAAGCTGTTATAGAAAACCAAACCGAAATGGGAACATTAAAGCAGTCCCACTAAAATTAACATCTGGTTATTTACAGTATTTACATTAACACTCCTGTATGTACAAGTTTGCATACCACTTACAGTACATGGGCAATTTTTTTTTTGTGCTTAAGGTAATTGCATTGTCATCCGCTCTACAGTTAATAAAGTTTTTTTTTAAAACAAGTAAAGAGCTTTGCTTATTGTTGCAGACACAGTTCCACCAACCCAGATCTTAAAAAAAAAAAAAAAAAAGATCAAACTAAACACTAGTCCAGGCTTACTTTAAGATGAAGAGCCCAGCTGTAAAAGTACCAGATAGACCCTGTTGAAAAACGCCCCTCCAGTAGTTGATCTCAACTGCGCCTGCTGAAGACCTAATGGTACAGGAGGCGTCTAAAGCGCTAAGTGATTTTAAAGGTTCTATGATCCATAGAACAAAAGGACGATCACACATATTAGGAAAGTCACCTCAAATGTCAAATGCCCTACTCTTCTCTACAGACAGCCACCCTCAGCTGGCAAACTGTTGGTAAAATGCCAGCTTGACCCGCTCTATGTGATGGCACAGCTTGATGGCAGGGCCGAGCTTCAGGTCCATACACTCCTGTACAGTGGGAAGGTTCAACAGAAGCAGCGCCTGACCGTCAATTTCCTGGAAGGTAAATGAAAAAGAGTTGAATAATATACAGATGTAGGATCCTAAATTAAGACTCATAAGCATGTGAAGCAAAAGATGCAGTTTAATCTATGCAATGCATATACACCTAGTATAAACATCTGTTTAGGGTTAGATGTGGCCCAAAGTGTTTTGCGATCCAATAACTCAAAACTACAAACCGACATGTCATCCGCAAAATGACGTGAAAAAAAGGATATCCTGGCCACAAATTAAGAATTCACTACTGCACTAATTTGTTCTCTCATTTTAGGTAAATCATGGCCACTATTTCACTGAATTAAAATGAGGAGACAAATTAGTACAACGTCATGGGCACAATTGATCTAAAACTAAGGAAATTATTAATTTATGGCCACGATATTTAAAATGACTTTTGTCTGTCATGTTTGGGGGCTTCGTACAAAGAGCCGACACTAATCCGGACAACAATGAAAGGCAGTCTTCCTTCTTGTCAATCAACCATTACTCTAAGACAAGAGGTTTCATTTTTGGCATGAAATGCAGCAGCTTTAAGAGGAAATAAAAGTCCAAAGTCCTAACGTTTACTATTTTGTGCTGCACATAGGTGGTCACAGGAGATGACTACTAGGTATAAACAGCGATTTATCTTATCTGACCACTTGGGATTGGATGTTAATGTGTGTTCAATTACTTGGTCCATAAAGATGCGTGCCAGCGGTGCACAATCAGTGGTCCTGATGAATCGCACAACATCCGTGACACTCCATTCCAGTGGACTACTGTCCAAACACAGCTTCTGAGGAGCTTCTGTACGTGGACTCTTCAGAAGAGATACAGCAAATCAGTCAGTTATCATATACAAAACAAAACAAATACAGTACATAATATTCCGCACTTCCGGAACATTCCGCAAAAGTTCCGCACATGACATTAGGGCTGGTCCTAATACCATTTTTTGAGCTTCGAAAGCTTCGGTAATAATCAACACCGAAGCTTCGGAGGGAAATAAAAACAATAATAAACGAGGCTCAAACATCCATTCATTTCGTAAAAGACATGTCTGTTTATTTGAGCACTTCCGTCAATAAAACAACACACTAAAGCCTGTAAAGTATTGAAATAAATATCAGTAAATAATGGTAATTTCCACACGAAGACGCATGATATAGCCTAAAGTGGGTCGCACACCGGACGAGAAGCGCAGCGCCGCGTCGCGCCACGTCTAGGACAACTCCAGGTATCGCACACCGGACGCGCACATTCTAATCGCGCGAGCACAATTTTGAATCAACTCCTGGTAGAAGAGCTGCACGATGTGTGTTTTATCTTGATTTATTATTTATTTTTTTATGTTCATTGAATAATAGCTGATGTTTAAACGTTAATCAAGTAAAAGTGTCTATCACGTTGAGTCTGTTATTTTGTTGTAACGTTATCCGTTGTCTAGGCAACTATGTCACATAATACAATAGTATTTATTTAGCTAGCGTTTAGCTAACCCGAGTGAAAACAGCACAGGGTGAAGCCATGTACATTAACGACGATTTGAGACAAATAAATGCAAATTTAATATAAAACTTTGCAAATGGCGCTCTGTGGGGCGGCAGGGTTTTGAACAAGGTCCTAAGCCGTAGCTGGGCGCCGCGGACAGACGCCGAATGGCGCCGCCGGTGTGTGTACACTCATAGAGAATAATGTGTTTGAATTTTAAAGACCTGGCGCTGCGCGACGCGGCGCTGCGCTTCTCGTCCGGTGTGCGACCCCCTTTAAAGCCTACTGCTCTGCGCTGACGTGAGTGTAGATTTGGGAAAAGAAACACGAGATTCCACGTCCAGTGGAATAACTAATGGAATATTGTTAAATTCGCTGATAATCGGGAGACCAGATCGCAAAATACAAAGCCGACAAAGCTTACATTTATGGGCTCACGCATAACTCTTTCATTCGTCATGAATCCAAATCCATGGCTGCAATGTAACATTTAATTGCTAACCTATTTTTTATTTTGTAAACAAAGCTTTGTGCTTCACTCGTGTCATAATATTCATGTAAAACAGTTAAACAGCATTCACACAAAGAAAAAAAGTGTTTTGTCGGATCACCGCCGGTGCTACTCAGCCACCGTGATGCGGTTGTCAAGTTTACCGGCACAGCCCTAAATAACGGGTTAAAAGGCTAATACATTTTGTTTTTATTATTCTATTTTCCACAAAGTCAAAGCAACACAGCTTAACCCAAAATACAAGCTCATGCAGTTGTGTGCTCTAGACAGAGAATACTCCATTTGCAGGGAACACTTTAGTAGGCTAAGAAGAAGCAAATATATTTATTATATAACGAGGTTGGGTTCCTTCCACTGTCCATCCTAATAAAAACGGCTAAGCTATATAAGATACTTGTAAAAATGAGTATTGTATTTCGCCAGATTTTATAGTGTAAACATTTTCAAGCGCGAATGAGAACCGTTTCGAGGAGGATGCCATGTGTGCTCAGTTTGAGTGGCAATTTAAATTTATTTAAATATTTTTATAAATATTATAAATCATATTTATAATAATGGTATTTCATTCAAATTATTAAGTAAAAGAATTATAAATAATACAATATTTCTGGTACTTCTGCTGTAATGACAAAGCTGCTCATTTTGAGTGGCAATTTAAATGTATCTAAATTTTTATATATTTTTATAAATATTATAAATTATATTTATAATAATGGAATTTCATTCAAATTATTAGGTAAAATAATTATAAAGAATTAAATTCCATACATTTCAACAACTGAATGTTCTTCAAAGAGTTTTTATTTTCTTTGCTCATAATTTATATCTAATAAAATATTTTAGAGACATTACTAGAAATAAATTATATTAATTATTTAACTTTTCTAGACTTTTTAATTTTTTATTGATATCCATATCTTTTACAGGTCTGGAAACCACAAAATTCCCTCATATATCCGTGTTTTCCAGTACAGTGGCATTCCTGGTCCACAAATAAAAATGACAGTTGTTGTGAGAACAAATTACCACAAAAAATATGATATCAGCCTCTAATATTGATTTTAGTTGTCTTAATTTTAAAGCATAAAGCATTTAAAAGCATATGTAGTTTGACTTTAAATAATTTTAAGCCATCCTTCAACTCCCTTGGAAGTGTGAACCCTGGTTGAGAATCACTGCTCACTGAAAAACTGATATAAATGATTACATCATTGTCCAATATTTATAGACTGTGACTCCCAGTGTTACCTTGGGTGAAGGAGGTCTGTTCTCATCATCTGAGCAGGAAGGCGAGCGAGGTTTGCGCCGTTTGCGTGTGGGCCGGGGGGTTTCTGGAGGGGAGGGGGAGGGAGTGGGGGGCTGCGACTTCTTCTCTGAGTATTCAGAGTCATCCATCAGCTCGTCTTGCAGCTCAGAGCCTGTATCTTCACTCAGAGAGTCATCGTCATCCAGATCTTCCTCATCACCACTGCCCTGTGAGGCCAGACAGTAACATTAGTACACATTGTAGAAGAATGCAACATACTGTTGACGCTAGCCTACATATATTTAATATTAACAACCGAGATGATCACTTTGATGCTGTGGTAGAACATCTAAATTCTGCTCATGTGTTGAATCTTAATGGAGATGACATTTACTCTGAGCAAATATTTCAACAGATTGTGCATTTCACATTCTAATTAAAACAGATGGAGGAAGATGGCTCTTGTTGAGCAGTTAATCTGAACATATTTTATTTTGTATTCAGCATGGTCCAAAAATCTGAGACTACATTGAAAATCTGGGTTAAAGATTCTAAACCATTATGACGTAAAAGGAAAAAGAAATGGATATGATTCTGTACTGTTCATAGGTCACTAATCAAAGCTCTGATGTTGAGCATGTAAACAATTCTAAAATTCACTCAGATTTCTATGGTGATAATGTTTAGAAATGGGACACATTTGTATTACATAAACAAAATAGAAGTATTTTCACCAGTGGTTTCATACTTCTGCAACCGTGGCGTGTAGCTCTTGTTACCTGAGGGGAACCTGCCGGAGTGTTGTCGACTGAAGCAGAAGAACGCCTCTTTTTGTGGACGAAGAGCTGCTTCCTCCTCTTCCTCCTCCTGCCTCGTCTCTTCACACCTCCCTCTAAGTTGGAGTGTCCGCCGGGAGGTCGGCCCACACGCCTGCTCTTCTTCTTCCCATAGTAATATGCTGTAAAACAGGTATTGTTAGATTCACAAAGCAACTTAAACAGCAAGTAATTTATACTATCACTTAATTTAAATGATTCATATGGGTGAATTTCACAAAACTTCTCAAAAAAAAAAAACTTTAGGTCAAATTTCAACCCCAAATCAAATAAAAAAGAATTAAGAAATTATATTTTATATAAAATACAATGAAGCATATGTTCAGGACATTTAAGGTTTTTTTCTCATGAAAATGAAGCAAAAAACAAAATAAAAACACAATAACTCCTTGCTGTAATGTGACCAAAAATAATATATTATTTAAATGTTTATAGATCATATGTGATAATATATGCATTATGTTATCTTTAATTTATGTGATTTAAAAATAAATAAATATTGTATTACAATAATCATTTTACGGTAATACAGCAAAAAAAAGACTAAAGAGAATTGTTGAGAATAATAGGAATTACAAAAAAGTACAAAATACACATTATGGTAATAAATGTTGTCTTTGTCAAATGTAATTTCTCTCTTGTTTTGGTCATGGGGGTTGGAATGTGACCTGGGAGTGATTTCACAAAATATGCAATTCAAATATCTGCAACAATTTAAACTGGAGAAATAAATGTACTGTACCATCCAGCAAGCCAATAATACCAGAATATAATACTGATATAGACACTGTAGAGAAAATAGCTGAAGTGATGCTCACTGTATTTGGTTTTGGTGAGCACAGAGCAGTTTTCCGAGCAGCGCTCCAGGACCATTCGTGGGCCGAACAGGTTGGGACAACACTCCAGCTTAATGCAGGTTTTCCGACAGAAATCGGCCACCTGGTCTGCTGTGCGAACGATCTCTACTGTCGCTCTGTAGCTCTTCCCTTTGTACCTGTGAAGCACAGACTTGTCAGGAAACCGAGAGCAAACTATTTATGTTATATAATTATGTTAATCATTAAATCGTTAATTATTATATGCATTGATAAAAAAAAGCATAAGCATAACTTTCATAATTTGTTCCAACAACTTCTTTGATCAGGTACCTTTGTAAAAGGTTTTTTTCCCTTAATTTAAAAAACAAACAAACATTAAAGCCCAAAGTATACTTTGGCCGTCCGTGTTCTGCGACGGTCTGCGCACTGACCGTGTGACGTAATCTTCGTGATCAGGAGCCTGCAACCTTAACCGGAAAAAGCGCAACGCCTGCTAACGCTGCAGTACGCAGGGAAGGAGACAAGAGGCTTTTTTTTGTTTTGTTTTTTGAATGTATGTCAATGGAGGAGAGGCTTCACTACGCTGAATAAACCACTTTTGTGAGGAAATAGCTTATCATTTAATGAATCGACTAATGATAGCCCATCGACTAATCTTCGACATCTTTGCTCCTAAACATTAGTTTTGGAATAATCTATTTTTTTTAGAGTTTACACCAAACAAAATGCTGTTTTTGTCGCCAAACATCGGCTGTACACTCGTTATTGCGGTGCAATGTAGGATAGAATGAGTGCTCTCAATAATGTCCACTATGGTTTCGGACACCACTACAAATAGATGTCCCTCAAATAATGCTCAATTTGAGGGTATAGGGAGCGATTTCGGATTCAGCCCATCTGTGGATCTGCTACTTTTCTTCTTTTATCCTTCCAAACAAACATCCTGTAAATGACATGACTCAGTGCTGCCCTCTGAGGTCTGGTAGAGTATAAAAAGGCAATTGTACTGTGCATCAGTTGAATGTGTGCATCCACGCTTATCCGCGGTTGAGTATAATGCGAGTCTGAGCAGAATGCGGAAAATGAAGTATACCCAGGCCTTAAGGCACAATATACTCACTTGGCTTTAAGTGTCTCTCCGTGACCCTGCCAGCGGCCCTCCTGGTCCAGCTGCAGCTCTCTCAGCACTCGGCTGGGCTTATAAGCCGAATTTATCAGCAGTGTCAGCACCTGCACAGGCCACAGGTCAAGAGGTCAGTATTAAAAAAAACACACAGCAAAGGTATTCATAAGTCTTAACAGTATGGAATAGTTCTGACTCCAAATACTGAGCTGTGTTCAAAACTATGACAAAATGGAGATAAAAGCATACCTTTGACGGCACGTTCTCTATTAATACCCTATAAGTTGCTATGGCCTACAGTTCGACTAATGAAATAAATTCATAACAGGAGAATTTTTATCAGAATTATATTTATATTACAGATTACAGATTTTACATGCAAATAAAGTAGGGCTATCAATTGGTAAAAAAAATTATTATTATTAATTAAATCAATTTAAATTATTAAAAATTAAATAAAAAATATATTTTGATTTTTTTGTACACTAGTTAAAATTGAATTGTACTAAAACAAACAAGTTAATTTACATCCCTAAATTAAACATTTTTATTACAATTTGATCTTGGTCCTTTATCATACTGTCATTTTATAAAACCAATAAGCCACTCGAGGATGTGCATTACAGTTAATTTACCACAGTTAAGGTTGTTTTAGACACTTAAGGTGATGATACACAGGGCAACTTTTTGAGCAATGTTGCTGGGCAATCTTGCCGAGCGATTGTTGCTTGGGCACTTTCCCATTGAAAATGGGCAATACATTCCTATCTGGATAATTTAGATCGGTCGTGGGCCCTGTGTCTTATCTGGTTGCCCGTTGACGGCAACATTGCCCAGCAAGATTGCTCAAAAAGTTGCCCTGTGTATCATCACCTTTAGAAATGCTTTGAACAACTCAGAACGTCAGTGGAGAAAGGCATATGGTTCATAACATTGTAATATACATCATATACATACTTCACCCACTATATTGCAAAATGTACCTGATTTTTCATATTAACAGAAAAATATACCGGGATAACCTGGCTTCTCGAGCCCCCCCTGCTACGCAGCATAGTTAATAATACGCTAAAGCCCGCCTCACGTTGACTGAATTGGTTATAACATATTTGTGACGTAGAGGACAGAGGCAATTTCAAAAGGTTTTAAGGAGAAAATACTTAGCAATGGTGCTGACTTATGAATTTACACATGGTTTGTTTTTAAGCATATTAAAAACACCACATAGACATTTAGACAACATTAAAAACTTGATTTTAACCACAGGGGGACTTATTAACATTTACTCAATTGGATACCACCCATTTTGTTGCCAAAAAAGACAAACACATTTAAATACTATTGCAAACAAGCAATCTGTTGTGGCTAACCTCCTTCAGTACCAGGACACAGTTCCCAGGTCCCACACACTGGGGCAGCTCTGCAATACGGCCCTTATTAAGGTAGGGCCCTGAGAAGCAGCGATGGTTAAAATAGATCTTAGGGCAGCAGTACTTCCCATTCGCCTGGCCTCCTGGTGGCAAACAAACAAGATTAAAATAGTACCGTGTTAGAGAGCATTGAGCTTTTATGACCGTGTAAACATATGACAAGGAAGACCATGCATGTGTAAGAGTGTTCAGATGTGTATCTAGCGCTCACCCATCTCAGCCTGATTGCTGTTAATAAGTTGTTTGGTAGTATCAGGTGAGGAGTCTTTGGATGGTACCCGGCTGTGATGAAAGAGATGAATGAGTGTTTTTCCATAATCAAAACTACTCTAACTCAATTTTAACACTTTTGTGTCTTACTTACTGTTTCTCTGGCTGAACAACCGCAACCTTTTTCTGTTTATCTACTGCAGATATCACATAAAACATGAATTTAAATGGCTACCAAGCCAATGTCAAAAATATATATCAATTTATGGGGTAATTTGTGTGCACAGCACTTTGGCATCATGAACGTTCTCTGAAATCGAGAGTTTGTGCTGTAACACTGACCTTTGGGCTTGCAAGGGTGCAGAAGAGGATAGCCATTTGTTTCACACCAGCTCACTGGGAAAATATCCATGGAGTCTGTGTGAACTATGATCTCTGGGACAGCCTGCTTCAGACCTGAGCAAAGAGTGGGAGGGAAAGATATGAGACAGACAAGCAGTCTGTTATGGCTAACCCCCTTCAGTACCAGGACACATGCCTACTGACTAATCCTCATGCCTACTGACCTTCTGTGATGTCTATAAAGGGTTAAGCCTAGTCTTAAATTAGTCTGTTACTGGTCTTGCTATTTTTAATCAGGGATTCAGCTTGGTTAGTATCCTCTGAAGCCGGTTCAAGGAGACACTGAATAATTATTTTTGGTCATTCAGAGCTTCCACGCTACATAGAGAAGAATGTTGACATCACACCTTCCAAACGAATCCACATGTGTTGACCTTTGACCTTGGTAACAGTTGCTACGTGAATGTTTTCAGGGCAGAGCGGATTGATGGCCTCCAGCATCATGGATTCTTTAATGCACTGATCAGATGGGTCCTACAAGGAAATTGAAAAGTAATTAAATTTCAGAAAATGTCATCAATAGCTGAGATTTGACAAAGTCTTGCAAAAAATTCAAATAATTTTAAAGAAATTAATACTTATTTTAAAAAAGACATTTATAATGTTACAAAAGATTTCTTTTCTCAAATAAATGCTGTTATTCTGAACTTACTATTGATCAAAGAACCCTAAAAAATGTATCAAGTTTTCCGCAAAAATATTAAGCCGCACAGTTGTTTTCAACATTGCTATTAATAAGACATTTATTGAGCTTTAAATCAGCATATTAGAATGATTTCTGAAGGACCATGAAGACAGCTTTGCCATCACAGGAATAAATTGCAATTTAAAATGTATTAAAATAGAAAACAGTTATCTTAAATTGTAATAATATATCGTAACGCTTCCTTTTACAGTACAGTACTTACGTGTACTTACCTAGAAAGTACTGGCTAATATAAGGTAAGTACATGGGTTAGGGGTAGGTTTAGGGGTAGGTTCAGGGTTAGTACCTAGTTATTACCCAGTAATTGTAATTACTATAATACGTACATAGTATGTACATGGGTAACAGGACTGTAAAAGGAAGTGTTACCAATATATCTGTATTTTTCATCAAATAAATACAGCTTTGGTGAGCATAAGAGACCTCTTCAAAAACATTAAAAATCTTACCGACCCCAAACTTTTGAACAATACGCTATATAAAACAAGTATAATATTAACATACTAATCAAAAACAATTATTTTACACAAACTAATTACAGAAAAATGACTAATGTCTTAATCATTATTTTTATAAATATTTTATTTACAAATATAAATTATACATAAATATTGTTTCTTACAAATTATTGTCAATCAAAATCCGATATTTTATCAGATATATTAAAGACTTGTTTAATTGACTGATTATGTCCAACTAATTAATAAAGTTCTTTTCAAAAATGTCATACCTTGATTTTTTTCCTTCATTACTGCATCAGGACATTTTATACACCAAAAATATCAAAATGAGTTTTAATTCAAAATATATAACATGTTAAGCATAAAAGAGAGGTATTGATTACATTGTGTGTATAAACTGCATTTATGTATTTTTTTAAATAAATTAATAGATCTGGACAAAATGACCATCATGCCATTGACCCATCTTTAAATACGCAGAAGGAGAAACTCACTGAAGGAAAGCATTGCTGCGGGGCTGCCTCAGCCTCACACTGCTTTAGATAGTCCGCCCAGTCAAAGTCCTGACCTTGGAACCCTACAAAGACACACACGCACACAAAGGTCAACAAGTGCACCTGAGAAACTGTTAACTGCATGACTGTCTCCCTAATATACATATAGATTACAAAATAACTGAAACGCTAGAAGAAACAAGACTTTAACTTTTAAGTAAATCACAAAGAGAACCCCAATGGCAATTCAAAGGACGAACTAATCTATATGTTGATTGGCAATTAGTAGCACGTGTGCCGTAAAAGAGATCTAACAATGAACACTTTGATATGGCAGCGTAGGGCTGGGCGATATGGCTGAAAACTGTATCACGATATCAGTGTTTCATATCGGTCGATATCGATAATTATTGATTTTTTTATGACCCATTTAAAATAAGGACCAGGAGAAAAAATATATTACATTTAAACATTTTTATTTTAAACTTACCCTTCCTCTGATTACAATCCCAAGACAGAAATGTCAACACAACCATGGAAAACTCAAATAATTAGAATGTAAACATAAGTCTAAATTCACAATCAGACCTGCAAACTCCTCAGAGTAAAAAAGGTGACAGTGGCGCGGCGGGACGGGGGTGGTGGGGGGTTGTGATCGTACGTGCCCCCTGCTTGATTTCTTTTTTGAGACATCACGGTTCGGTACGATTTCGGTACAATGGAGTAAAAAGCAAAACAGAAATATATTAGGCTTTTTTAATAAATGTCTTAAGCCTTGTATTTTTTAAATAAGTTTTATTAATAAAGGCATAGAACCAGTTTATTTATAGTGCACTGATAATAGTTTTATATAATTGGTTTATTAATTAAACTAATAAAAAGATAGATATGAGATATGTTTGGTAATTGTACCTGAATGAATTTAAAATTAATTTGCTATATTTTAGATCAATATATTTGTTTTCCTTAATTTTAATTAACCCTAACTTTATTCTCATCAGAATTATAAATAATTGATTTCCGTATAAAATAATCTACCAACATATTTCACTTTCTTTTTTAATCAATGTGTAACTTATAAATAAACAGATTAGTGCTCTGTTTTGAGGACAAGAAATGAAAACCAATGCGATATGATGAATGTCCAAAAGATGGAACACACAGACTGTTTTAAAAAGGGTTAGATAAATATGTTTTGCTTTTAAAACGGTGTGTGACAGTTGTAGGTTACAGTTTGACAAGAAATACAGTGTGACAAAAGCACAATGTTGTGTTTTATTGCGAGTATAGGCCTACACAAATATAAGTAAACACTTTGCAGACTGAATGATGTCCTGTATTAACAAAATGACGGAGTATGTTTTTATGTCTCCACTGTTCGATCGCGCCCGCGTGTCTCTCTCTCTCTCTCGCGCGCGCGCGCGGAGTCGGACACACACACACACACACACACACACACTCCAGCATTGAAATCTTGACATCGCAGCCTGTTCATTATGCTGTGTTCACATCAAACGCGAATAGAGCGAATTATCCAATAATGTTTCGCAACTCTAGCCTGCATGGCATGCAGATGAAGGGCACTCATTTTCTGCTTATCAATCGCCGGTTACTGATGAGGAACCCAGCAGCACGAGACAACGATATGGCGCAACAAAACTGACACGTTACATGATTGCCTGAGCGTGTCACTCCCTACGTTGCTAGGTTACCAGAGAGCGCGTGCCTTTGATAATGCAACCAAACTTGCTTCGCAACCTGTGGTTTCTTCCGACGAAGAAAAAAAATATCGAACGTTTTATCGAACACATTTTTTATTGATATCGATCACGTGTCTATCGCGATACATATCGTTATCGTTTTATCGCCCAGAGTAAGAGATCAAATAGTGTCACCAAGACCAAAACCATAGATATATTTTTGCAACTTGGTGTTAAGAAAAAAACTTCTGCATCAAAACAAAATAGTGAATCGCATTTATTGATTTCTTATCCAGATGGGATTATTTTTGGCAAAGTTCAAAAGCCTCAAGTGTGTTTCCAGCTGTTAAAATGGGGATGGATCCATAAAGACATGGCTAACCATCCCACACCAGCCATTAGGTCTAATGACTGCTCTGCTGGGCACTATAACTGCCAAGGAATGAGGTTGTTTTTCACGACAGTAAAAGCACTGCTCACTCGTGTGTTCATATTCACAGAAAACCAATGTTTCATGGACAGCAGGATGAGCGAAATGCTTGGTGGCATATCCAATCGCCAGATATTATCCAAGTTATCCTGCTTGAGAACAATTATGCAATGATGAATACAAACAGATTAGGACTTGTAGGACTGCGTTCCAAAAAATGAAGCTGTTCTGAAAGGAAAGGATGTGCCACCTTCCCATTAGGTCCTTTTTATTAATATTTTATCAGTCATTTGTGTTATTTCATTTTCTTTACTATATACTGTATATGACGACTGTATCTCCAGACCTGGAGGAGGGCTGAGCTTGACTCCGTTCTTTAGACTCCACTGCGTGGGGAAGATTCCCGGACTGTCCCTGTGACAAAGGAAAGAGCGTCCGCCACCCTCTTTCTGTGCCTCATCTCTCATATCGTCCATCCGCACCAGAAAGAACTGATCATTGAATACCTGTCTCACACACATAAACAAACAGGTAAATCAATACAGCATATGTACATGAATGAAGCTAAGAATAAGGGCACGGGTCTACAATATACACACACACAGTACACACACACAAATCAATATCAAATGTACATTAATTTTTACACTATGTAATTAATGTTCTATTTATTAAAACCAAGTATAAATTTCATCAAGTTAGTGTTTTTACACATTTTTACATTTATTCTGAAATAATAACTAAATGCAGTAACAATTTAAAATATAAAATTTTAGTTGTGAACTGATGTTCAACTGTTCTTTTTAATAGTCAACTTATTTTCATCAGTCATCAAGCTCACTAAACACTGATCACAGACACAAAAAAGTACCCCAAGGTGATTGCTCACTAAAAAAAACCCCAGTCATCATGTTTTCAGGCCATTTCAAGTTTGATTTTGAAGGGACATAAAGCCGTGATATTTAAGTGGGTGAGTTGTTTACTTTTTAATTTGTCCTCCCAATAACACCATCATTTACTTCATTCCAGCCAGTTTGTGAACACGCATGAAAACAAGAGGCAGGATTTATCGCATGAACCAATCATATCCAATCATAACCGATCATATCCAATCATAGAGCGATGGAGGCATTGCCTCATCTCACTTGGTTTCCCCCATTCATTCTCAATTACCAAACCCACTGCACCCTATAGGGCAGGGATAGGCAACTTCGGTCCTGGAGGGCCACTTTCCTGCAGAGTTTAGCTCCAACCCTAATTAAACACACCTGAACAAGGCAATCAAGGTTTTAAGGATTGCTAGATAGATACAGGCAGGTGAGTTTTTATCAGGGCTGAAGCTAAACTCTGCAGGACAGTGGCCCTCCAGGACCGGAGTTGCCTATCCCTGCTATAGGGGGTCTGTTAAAATTCAATTGGGCTCAGGGGAGGCAAGAGAATACTGTGTTGCTGTTGGACAGTGTTACTTTAGGAAAACAAGTGTTCCCTTTCGAGGGAACTCGCGATGCGTCACTTGACGCTTTGGGAACGCCCCCAGCGTGAATGCGTCTGAGCATCAATGTCAACTAGTCCAATGGAAAGAATGAGCGTCACGGGCGGGTGACGTCATGACCAGGAAGGCATAAGAGCACATCCGGTGAAACGCGGCATTAGCTTCTGTGTCTCAGCAAGCGATCTGTGTCATTTTGTCTCTGTCTATTTACTGTTGTCTGTTGCGGAAAAGGATGGAAACTAAACAAGTGTACAAACAGTGTGTTTCTCCCTGCCCGCGTTATTTAACGGGTGGGGACACACACAAGCTTTGTGTCATTTGTTTGGGAGTGGAGCATGCGGTCTCAGCCTTCGAGGGGGCTGAGTGCCAGCATTGTGAGATGTTACCGCTTCGCATGCTCCGCTCTCGCCTGTCACTCTTTGATAAAGAGAGTGGGCAGGCTCGCGATCCGCAGGGATCAGGACCCGCGTCTGCTGAGGCAGCGCGGAGAATGCATTCCTGGGGATCGCAAAAGGATCTTTCGGAGGGGTTGGAGACGGGTCCGAGGGCTCTTTCTCCTTCCTTACCCGAGAGATCCAGCGCTCTCCCCCCGGTGTCGGAAGCACGCTCTGCGGTTTCTTCCGCTCGGGGAGAGAGCCCTCCATTACTTTATTGCTCTTCCTCCGAGGAGGTCGATGCGATGAGTTTGGAGAGTGAAAGCACACACATGGGGGAAAGAGATTCACAATTTATTTCCCCAGCATATGATGAGCTGGTGGATGTTATGTCGCGGGCTGTAGATAAATTAAAGATTGAATGGCCATCTGATAATAGGGGCGCTCGTCCGAAGAGTAAATTAGATGAGCGCTTTTTATCTTCTACTGCTTCATCTCCACCACGAGGGCTTCCATTTTTTCCTGATCTTCACAATGAGATTTCTAAATCATGGAATAAGCCATACTCATCACGTCTTTTCAGCCCTCAAGTTAATATTTATTCAAAAATTAGAGGGCTGAAAGAGTATGGTTATGAGGCGATGCCCCAGGCGGAACAGAATTTAGCTAGCTATCTTTCCCCTGGTCCCGCATCGTCTCTGAAAGCCTCGGCTTTGCCCACTCAAGCTGGAGCATGTCTGCATACTATGGCAGTGCTTCAGGCTTATCAAGCTGACCTGCTGGGGGATCTGGACAATAGTGAGGGAGTTAGTCATGACGATATTCGAGAACTTCGTCGGGCTACCGATCTTTCTCTCAGGGCTACTAAAGAGACCGCCAGAGCAATTGGGCGGTCTATGGCAGCTTTGGTAGCTACTGAGAGTCATTTATGGTTGAATCTTTCGGAGATTAAAGAAAAAGATCGTGCTTTTTTGTTAGATGCTCCGCTTGAACCTTCTGGTCTCTTTGGTGACGCAGTCCATACGGTCGTCGAGAGATTTCAGGAATCAAAAAAGCAAGCGGACGCTTTCAAAAAGTTTATCCCTCGCCGTGTCCAGCCCCCTGGGGCTGCTGGGCGTGAGCAGCCCCAGCCATCTAGCTCATCATATCGTGTGCATCAGAAAGAGAGTGTTGCGTCTCGTGCACCTCCACGTGGAAACTGGAGACAGACGCAACCCTCTCAGCCGAAGTCTTCTAAGTCGAAGCCGGATCTGAGGATCTTGAGGATCCGGATCTTCAGGCGAAGAAGACTTCGGCTCAGAAAAAAAAAAGGTCCTGATGTTCATGCATCAGGCCTGTGAGGACAGCCCCGACCGAAATAGAGCGGTGTACACCTCATCATACGGTGCCCGTTCCATTTCGGGGTCCTCACGAGCCCGTTCTGCCAACCCTGCCACCCTCGGTGCTTCAGGGCGCAGCGGTCTCCAGCGAGTCGCTGATGCTATGCTGCGGCACAGCATCGGTTTCGCGCCCTCTGAGGGGGGCTTTAGAGCGGCCAGTTTAGGTAGTTCCTGCCATTATGTTTCAGGCTCCGGAATTGGCTGTCTCGATAACACCAGAGACCAGCCTCGAGAGGCTGGTTCCCTTAGTAAATTTTCTGGCAGCGTGGAAGCTTCTGCCGAATATTTCTCGTTGGGTCCTGCAGATTGTAGAGAAAGGATACAGAATCCAGTTTGGTTCTCGTCCTCCTCGTTACAACGGGGTGCTGCCCACAGTGGTGCATCCCGAGCAGGCTCTGGTAATGGAGCAAGAGGTAAAGGCCCTGTTAGCAAAGGAAGCTATAGAACAGGTGTACTCACCCGACAGAGAGTCGGGTTTTTACAGCCGTTATTTCATTGTTCCAAAAAAGGATGGGGGGTTGCGTCCCATTTTAGATCTTCGTCTGTTGAATCGTTCAGTACAGAAACTCAAGTTCAAGATGCTGACACTCAAACAGATCGTGACTCAAATCAGATCCGAGGACTGGTTTGTCACGATAGATCTGAAGGACGCCTACTTCCATATCTCCATCCTCCCTCAGCACAGGAAGTTCCTAAGGTTTTCTTTCGGGGGCAAAGAATACCAATATTGGGTTCTTCCTTTCGGTCTAGCTTTATCACCCCGCACGTTCACGAAATGCGTGGATGCAGCTCTAGCCCCTCTCAGGCTTCAGGGCATACGTATTCTGAACTACATTGACGACTGGCTGATTCTGGCGGAATCAGAGCAGTTGGCGGTTCGGCACCGAGGTGTCGTTCTCGCTCATATGCAGATGTTGGGGTTGAGGCTCAATGCCAAGAAGAGTGTTCTTTCTCCAGTACAGAGAACCACTTTCCTTGGTGTGGTATGGGATTCAGTGACGATGCGGGCCACTCTATCGCCCGTTCGTGTAGCTGCTATCCTGACAGCCACCAAAGAGCTAAAGCTAGGCCAGTCACGCACTGTGAAACAGTTCGAGAGACTGTTGGGTCTCTTGGCGGCAGCGTCCAACGTGATACCTTTTGGCCTGCTGTACATGAGACCTTTACAGTGGTGGCTAAGGACCAGAGGGTTCTCCCCGAGGGGAAACCCACTTCGTATGATCAAGGTCACGCGGCGGTGCCTTCGTGCCTTAATTATATGGAGGAAACATTGGTTCTTAACCCAGGGTCCGGTATTGGGAGCTCTTTGCCATCGTGTTACGATCTCGACAGATGCTTCCCTCACCGGCTTGGGAGCGGTAATGGAAGGCCGCTCGGTTCAGGGTCTGTGGAAAAGTCATCATCTTTCGTGGCACATCAATTGACTGGAGATGATGGCTGTCTTCAATGCGCTGAGACAGTTTCTCCCAGACCTGAGGGGCCATCATGTGCTTGTACGAACAGACAACACATCAGTGGTCTCTTATCTGAACCGTCAGGGGGGTCTGCGGTCGCGTCCGCTTTGCAAACTGGCGCACCAGATCCTCCTGTGGTCTCTGGGGAAGGTACTCTCCCTGAGGGCAGTGTATATTCCTGGGGACCAGAATATGGGGGCAGACATCCTGTCGAGGCAGGAGCTGAGGCCAGGGGACTGGAGACTCCACCCCGAGGCGGTGGAGAAAATTTGGGAGTTTTACGGCCAAGCAGAGGTGGATCTGTTTGCGTCTCAGCATACGACGCACTGTCCACTTTGGTTTCTTCCTTACTCACCCAGCCCCCCTGGGGCTGGATGCTATGGTGCAGACGTGGCCGAGGCTACGTCTGTACGCATTTCCCCCTGTTGCTCTGCTCCCAGGAGTTCTGGAACGAGTCCGCCAGTACGGAATAAGCCTACTGCTTGTAGCACCACGCTGGCCGAGTCGGATCTGGTTTGCGGACCTGATCCATCTCTTAGACGGTCCTCCCTTGGAGATCCCGATCAGGAGAGACCTTCTGTCTCAGGCCGGGGGCACAATATTTCACCCTCGACCAGAGATTTGGAACCTGTGGGTTTGGCCTCTGAGGGGGCCCAACTCATAGAGAGTGGTCTCTCAGCTGAGGCTGCTGAGACCATCCTAAGCTCCAGAGCTCCAGCTACTAGGAAACTTTATGCGCTTAAATGGAGAGTTTATTCTGTATGGTGTCACCGACATCAGTGGGATCCAGTTAACTGTTCTGTGAACACAGTACTCGAGTTCCTGCAGGAGCGCTTTACGTCAGGTCTATGTCCTTCCACGCTCAAGGTCTACGTGGCGGCCATTGCGGCTTACCACGCCCTGGTGGGGGGTACATCGTTGGGTCGAGACCCCCTGATTACACTTTTCCTTCATGGCACATTGAGGCTGAGGCCTGCAACTCGCACTAAGGTGCCAGCTTGGGATCTTGCTATAGTACTAGAAGGCCTGTCTAGGGCTCCGTTCGAGCCCTTAGATTCGGTTTGAGAGAAATTTCTTACCCTCAAGACTATCTTTCTGCTAGCTATTTCTTCCCTTAAGAGAGTTGGAGACCTTCAGGCCCTTTCGGTTTCCCCCACGTGCCTTGAGTTTGCACCGGGGATGGTCAAGGCATTCTTATATCCGAAACAGGGATACGTCCCTAAGGTGCCGACCTTGATTCCGAGGCCTATTGTGCTGCAGGCTTTCTGTCCTCCTCCTTTTACATCTGCGGACCGGGAAAGGCTGAACCTCTTGTGTCCAGTGCGAGCACTGGATACTTATGTTCATCGGACATCTTCAATGAGGAAGTCCGACCAGTTATTTATTTGCTTTGGATCACCTAAGAAGGGTCTTCCTGCTACTAAACAGACGGTTAGTAAGTGGATAGTCGAGGCTATTGCACTTGCATACGAGTACTCTGACCATCCGTGTCCCTTGGTGGTCAGAGCTCACTCTACGAGGGGTATGGCGGCCTCTAAAGCCTTGTTATTTGGGGTTTCTCTTCAAGACGTTTGTGATGCGGCAGGCTGGTCCTCACCGCTCACATTCGTCAGGTTTTACAGTTTGGACCTGGATGCTGCCCCAGGTTCTCAGGTGCTTAGTGCTTAGTTCCAACAGACTGACACTCAGGTACTTGGAATTCTGGCGTTTTGGGTATTCTCGTTCCCAAAGCGTCAAGTGACGCATCGCGAGTTCCCTCGAAAGGGAACGTCTCAGGTTACTACTGTAACCATAGTTCCCTGAGAAAGGGAACGAGACGATGCGTCACCCTGCCATACTTCCTGCATCCCTGTGATCGGCTTGCTTCGACTTTTTGAAGCTAATGCCGCGTTTCACCGGATGTGCTCTTATGCCTTCCTGGTCATGACGTCACCCGCCCGTGACGCTCATTCTTTCCATTGGACTAGTTGACATTGATGCTCAGACGCATTCACGCTGGGGGCGTTCCCAAAGCGTCAAGTGACTCATCGTCTCGTTCCCTTTCTCAGGGAACTATGGTTACAGTAGTAACCTGAGACGATTTATACACTGTTACATTAAGTAATATTTGCATTGTTTTATTTTTGTAATATCAATTATTTTCTCATCCAATTTTTTTGAGACACTGCCTCCCTTGCCACTGCCCCTTGCCTATACCCCTGATATATATATATATATACAGTGGGGGAAATAAGTATTTGACCCCTTGCTGATTTTGCAGGTTTGCCCACTTACAAAGAATGCAACGATCTATAATTTTAATCATATGTACATTCTAACAGTGAAAGACAGAATCCCAAAGAAAATTCCAGAAAATCACATCATATGAATTTATTTAAATTGATAACCATCTGATGAGGAAAAACAAGTATTTGACCCCCTGGACAAACAGCATGTTAATATTTTGTAGAAAAGCCCTTATTGGCCAGCACAGATGTCAAACGCTTTTTATAATTGGTGACAAGGTTTGTGCACATTTCGGCAGGGATGTTGGCCCACTCCTCCCTGCAGACAGCCTCCAAATCTTTCAGGTTCCGAGGTTGTCGCCTGGCAACTCGAATTTTAAGCTCCCTCCAAAGATTTTCAATTGGATTCAGGTCTGGAGACTGGCTAGGCCACTCCAGAACCTTGATGTGCTTCTTCTTCAGCCACTCTTTTGTTGCTTTGGCGGTGTGCTTAGGGTCGTTGTCGTGCTGAAACACCCATCCTCGACCCATCTTCAGCTCTCTCACTGAGGGAAGGAGATGTTGGTCCAGAATTCCACGATGCATGGCCCCGTCCATCCTCCCCTCAATACGATGGAGTTGTCCCGTCCCCTTGGCTGAAAAGCACCCCCAAAGCATGATGTTGCCACCACCATGCTTGACGGTGGGGATGGTGTTCTTTGGGTTGTACTCGGTGTTCTTTGCCCTCCAAACATGACGAGTTGAGGCCAAAAAGTTCTATTTTGGTCTCATTTGACCACATAACCTTCTTCCAGGCCTCTTCTGAGTCGTCCAGGTGGTGAATGGCGAACTTCATGCGGGCCTGTACATGTTTCTTCTTGAGCAGGGGGACCTTGCGTGCGCTGCAGGATTTCAATCCATGACGGCGTAGTGTGTTACCAACCGTTTCTTTTGTAACTGTGGTCCCAGCTGCCTTCAGTTGATTCATCAGTTCCCCCCTTGTGGTTTTGGGATGATTCCTCACTGTTCGCATGATCAGGGACACCCCACGAGGCAAGATCTTGTGTGGAGGCCCAGACCGAGAGAGGTTGGCGTTGGTGTGGTGCTTCTTCCATTTCCTGATAACTGCACCGACAGTTGATCTTTTCTCTCCAAGTTGCTTTCCGATTCTCTTGTAGCCCATCCCAGCCTTATGCAGATCAACAATCTTGTCCCTGATGTCCGTAGAAAGCTCTTTGGTCTTGCCCATGGTGGTGATGTTGGATGATGGTTGTTTGGGTGTTGACAGGTGTCTTTTATACAGGTAACGAGGTGAGGCAGGTGTATTTGATGTAGATAATTGGTTGGGATTGGGGCTGTGTCTTAAAGAAAGACTAACTGGCTTGTAGGAGCCAGAATACTTGCTGTTTGGTAGGGGGTCATATACTTGTTTTTCCTCATCAGATGGTTATCAATTTTTATAAATTCATATGATGTGATTTTCTGGAATTTTCTTTGGGATTCTGTCTTTCACTGTTAGAATGTACATATGATTAAAATTATAGATCGTTGCATTCTTTGTAAGTGGGCAAACCTGCAAAATCAGCAAGGGGTCAAATACTTATTTCCCCCACTGTATATATATATATATATATATATTTCAAACTTTTATGTTAGATGTGATTAATCGATTTGACAGCACTAGTATAAACTAATTCTCTTGACCCATCTGAAGGCTGTCAACATGATTAATAAGAGGCTGTTGTATGCAGAAGTTGTGTTTGACAGAATACTAACTGAAAAAGAGAAGTAATTTCTGGAATCAAATCAACACTGAATTTGTCTGTTACTGATCTTTATTTATTACCATCTTTTCAGCAAAGCATTAGAGTAACATTCCCAAACTACAGCAGTTTAGTGTGTTGACCACATTTTGGAGGAAATGAGAGGATAGGGGAGGTACTTTAGAGTCCGTTACGATTACCTTGGCCACAGTGGCAGGACTGATGGTGAAAGGAGTTGCTGGGTCCACAGCTTCCAGCTTCATCCCATCAGTAAAGCAGTGCGGAGTGATGGCTGATCTGTCCTGAATACAGAAACAAGCGTATACTACATCAATATGACTGAATAAATTAGAAAGAAAAAATAAAGAAGAAACAATAAAGTGGAAAAAAGTATTTTCTAGCCGTTTCTGAATTTCTTTCATCCATATTATTATTGTAGCAAACATACCTTGATATGTTGGCTGGTTGTAATACAGATTGAAATACAAATAATACAGAAATATATAAAAGCAAATTAAATTATACTGGGGGGGAATATATTTAAGGATTTACATTTTTTTTAAGTCATCATTTTGACATACCAGAAAACTTCGAGTAACTTTAAACTATTTCGTTTCTTAAAAATAGTATGTGAAACAGAATACACCCTTATAATAAGCAAATATATTTCCCTATATATGAATGATCAATATATTATATGGTTTAACAGTATATTTGAAAATATACAGAATAATATATTGTAATAATATATTACAATATATTGAAAAATACAATATAATTTCCATTTTTTATATATGGAAAAATATGAAATGTCTCGGTTACGTATTGTAACCCTCGTTCCCTGAGGAGGGAACGGAGATGTCTCGTTGGAGGAGTTTCCAACGAATTGGGATCACGCTAGGGAGACCAATTGCCTTCGAGTGAATTAAAACGAGGCAATGAATATTGGCATGCAGGACTTGCATTCCGCGCCCCGCCTACCAGTGCGGGTATAAAGCGGAGGCGAGCGCACACACATATCCTTTACGCGGAGGAGCCGGACAGTGTCCAGTCCACGGCGAAGGTACAGCAAGCATGGCGACGGGACGAGACGTCTCCTTTCCCTGCTCAGGGAACGAGGGTTACCATACGTAACCGAGACGTTCCCTTTCGTTCGGGAACTCCTACGTCTCGTCAGAGGAGTTTCCAACGAATTGGGATCCCTAATAACACGCCATGGTGCTGGCCCCTTCCAGCACCCAGCTTAGCTTCCCGCCAAAGCAGTTTCTTAGTTTTCTTTCTTTAAGCCCAGGCACGTGAAACAGTGACCGTGGTCGTCAAATGAGGACAGGAAACGACCGCATCCAGAAACACACGGGTGAAACTTCATCCTGAAAAGGACGCGATCTTCACCCATGTTGCTCTTTTCACAGAAAACGCTCTCTTATTGTGCTGAAGCACACAGGGATAGACGCGGCAACATAGCGGGGAAACTGCAAGCCCGCTGTGCGCACTCAACCGAATACCAGCTGTGACAACAGCTCTTTGAAAAAAAGGCAGATCACGTGAAGCAGCAGCTGGTACCCGGGAGATCGCGAAGATCGCTGAAGCGCCGTCACACCAACACAGAGAGGTCTCGGAGAAAACAGCATACTCGTTGAGCGTGAAGATAAATTACTAATCTTGAAGCTCATCCACTCAGAGGACACAACCGGTCGGCTCCGAAGCTAAAAGCATATGTGTGTGTGCTCGCTTCCGCTTTATACCCGCACTGGCAGGCGGGGCGCGGAATGAAAGTCCTGCATGCCAATATTCATTGGCTCGTTTTAATTCACTTAAAACGATGAGAGGTAGGAGTTCCCGAACGAAAGGGAACAATATATTTACTAATCATAATGTATGTAATTTTATATTCAGTAATACACTTCATAATATATCGATGTATATGTGATCAGATATGGTACTGCATGTGTAATATATTGCAGATATATTTACTCATGCAGCATAAACACACATATATAGAGGAATATACAACGTAATATATTTCTTATATTTTTTAATTATTTATAAATGTTTCATATTTTCAAGTTAGTTAACAAAAGCACACCTGCATGTACTTAAGTATTTAGCCAAGAGACAATCACTTTGCTGAAGAGGGAATCGTTAAAGGGATAGTTCACCCCAAAATGAAAATTCTGTCAGTAATTACCATAGACAGTAAAAGAAATGGACACAGCGACCCCATAGACTTCAACGGAGAAAAGTGAAGTCAAATAGAAGCACTCACTTCCTGATTGCCAAGCGCACTGCGCAGGCTCAAACTGAGCTTGAAGACGTAGTTGTGACGTGAGCAACCTGACTGACAGTTGTACGTCTTCTAGTAGCGGTGCCAAGAGGAATCTGAATCATTCCCTTCTGAATCTCGCAGAGCCGGAGATCGTGAGTATTAGCTGTTCATGAGCTCGCAGCAGGAGCAACTTTATGACTCTCTATGGGCTTCTCCCTTGACTTTATGCCTCCATGTCCCCCGATTGCACGTGAGCTTCTACATCTGTCTTTACGGTCATTTCTCTTCTATGCGACAGAGAGTCGCGTGTTATGACGCAATCGTTAGCCTATTTTTACAAAAACTGCTTCTACGGGGTCACAACGTAAGATACAAGGTAATGGAGCATTTTATACATTGTCGTGTTTCTTTAGAAATAAATAATGGACAAATGGAGTCTTTAAATGTCTCAGATGTAAAGTTATTCGCTGTCAAAGTGACGCAAAAATGAATGGGAGTCAATGGAATGCTAACAGCAGGTGAAGGCTTGCTAACCAATGGCGGCGCCCGGGGAGACTTCAGTTTCCGGCTGGTGGATTACCCCCTTGGTAATTACTCACCCTCATGTTGTTCCAACCCCATAAGACTTTCGTTCTTCTTCGAAACACAAAATTAAGATATTTTTGATTAAATCTGAGAGCTGGATCACTCCTCCATAGGCTTCTAAGGGATTGAAACTTGCCGGCCCAGAAAAGTTATTAAAGACATCATTAAAATAGTCCAAGTGACTACAGTGGCTCAATCTTAAGTTTATCAAGCAACGAGAATACTCTTTTTGTGCGCAAAAAAACAAACAAAAATAACGACTTTATTCAACTATTCATTTCCTTCTCTGTGGGCCTCGAGATTTCACGTAGTGTAACTAGGGATGGGCGATATGGCCTAAAATCCATATTGCGATATACATTGCAGCCTCTTGCGATAACGATATATATCACGATATATATAAATTATAATAGAACCATTTCAGAACAGGTTAGACAGACCATAAGGAAAGCTAAACTGCTAAATGTATTTTTTTTAAAAACATTTATTATGCAAAACTGTAATTATAGAACATAATGTTGCAGATGAATAAAATTCAAGTACACTAGCTGCAGAGACTTTAACAAAGAAAAAGCTTAAAGTTTTGGTTTATTTCCTTTAGTGCACGCCTCTTTCACACATACTCCGTGTGCAGTGCAGTGCGGTGGTATGCGGCGCAGGAGCAGCACGCGCTATTGTGCTTTCACATATGGTGTGTTTGCAGTGCGCAACTGATCTACGGCTGTACGACAAACAACATTAATCCTCTATTTTTTATTTCAAATCACTATTTTTATTATTAGTGTCTTTTATAAAATAATATAAAAGAGTTTCAGCATTGTGATTCTATTTGTACACAGACAGTAGGCTAGTAATACGCACTCTTTCACAAGACTTAGGCTATTCACGTTTAAACAATACACTTAAAAACTTATTATTACTTCTATATAGATTTATATATTAAGTTGCTCAAGCAAGTGGCAAAACATTTATACATTCATGTTAACATCGCAAACATTTTAAATTAAAACATACATAATTGACATAAACAGCTCTCTCATACCTTTTCTTTTGCATTTAAATCTTTTTTACAAGAAATATTGCAATCACAAAGAACTTGTTTCACGAAGAGACAAGTGCATCCATTATGTCGCGTTGTTGAGGTAATGTTACTGTGTAGTTTCCTTGCTTTAATTACCCCGAGCTTAAAGTTAAAAAGAAAATGATTGAAAAATAGTATAATTTATTTTTACTATATTAGTAAAAAAGATTACTATATTTTCATATCAATCCGTGTTCATTTTGACCATGAACCGTGTGCTGTCACTTTAATTCAGCACATGCAGCACAGCAAAAATAGAGAGTGTGGAAACGATCGCTGCACTGCTGTATACACAAGGGGGTAATCCACCAGCCGAAAACTGAAGTCTCCCCGGGCGCCGCCATTGGCTAACAAGCCTTCACCTGCTGTTAGCATCCCATTGACTCCCATTCATTTTTGCGTCACTTTGACAGCGAATAACTTTACATCTGAGACGTTTAAAGACTCCATTTGTCCATTACTTATTTCTAAAGAAACACGACAATGTATAAAATGCTCCATTACCTTGTATCTTACGTTGTGGCCCCGTAGAAGCAGTTTTTGTAAAAATAGGCTAACGATTGCGTCATAACACGCGACTCTCTGTCGCATAGAAGAGAAATGACCGTAAAGACAGATGTAGAAGCTCACGCGCAATCGGGGGACGTGGAGGCATAAAGTCAAGGGAGAAGCCCATAGAGAGTCATAAAGTTGCTCCTGCTGCGAGCTCATGAACAGCTAATACTCACGATCTCCGGCTCTGCAAGATTCAGAAGGGAATGATTCAGATTCCTCTTGGCACAGCTACTAGAAGACGTACAACTGTCAGTCAGGTTGCTCACGTCACAACTACGTCTTCAAGCTCAGTTTGAGCCTGCGCAGTGCGCTTGGCAATCAGGAAGTGAGTGCTTCTATTTGACTTCACTTTTCTCCGTTGAAGTCTATGGGGTCGCTGTGTCCATTTCTTTTACTGTCTATGTGTATACACACCGCTCCTGGAACGCATTGCCGCACCGCATCCGCGTGCAGGCCTGTTAACATGGGTACGGGAAAAATACATAGCCTACATATGCACTGCAAACGGAGTATGTGTGAAACAGGCGTTAGCCAGAACTGTTGCCCCTACAGAGTATAGTTTGCTGCTGCTCGTCGGACGGCTTATATCCGAACCAATGGATGTTGCACCGGTTTTTTTTTACCAGCTCCTCCGTTTCGCTTTCAGCCATGTTTACTCAAGATGTCGAATACGATGATGCGTTGCAGCCGTTTGCAGCTCGTGGCTCTAAATTTTGCGGGTAGATTGCGTCAACATGCATTATCGCGATAGTGCAATATAATTAAAATCCATATCGTAGACCAATTTTGTATCGTTTATATCGCCCATTACTAAGTGTAACTGCGCAGCGCTTCTGGTTGAACGTCACACACATGACCAGCGTCAGCCAATAGTGAGCCTACGTGTGACGTTCAACCAGAAGCGCTGCGCAGTTACACTACGTGAACTAACTCGAGGCCCACAGAGAAGGAAATGAATAGTTGAATAAAGTATTTTAACGATGTCTTTAATAACTTTTCTGGGCCGGCCAGTTTCAATCCCTTAGAAGCCTATGGACTAGTATGGAGGAGTGAGACAGCTCTCAGATTTAATCAAAAATATCTTAATTTGTGTTCCGAAGATGAACGAAAGTCTTACGGGGTTGGAACAACATGAGGGTGAGTAATTACTGACAGAATTTTCATTTTGGGGTGAACTAACCCTTTAACCGAACCACAGGCTCTACTCTTCAGCACAACGGTAACCCCAAAAACTCAGACATATCAGAAAACCTTTTAAATTACAAAATAATACAACATTAAACAAACAGATCTCCCCTCTATACTAATATTGAGCAAAACACATTAAATAACACTTAATTTTAATATTTACTCTCCTTTAACAGCCAGAAGCAAAGCATGCTGGGAACTACAAATATGTTGTAACTCATTCCGTGAATGTGTGTGTATATTTACTATAACTTACATTCACATTTATATGGAAACATGTATGTGCAATATATGTACACAATAAAGGATAAAACTGTGTGAATATTACATGCAATGCTATTTTTGTCTTCATTTATAAATATTTTATATGTATCAATATATAGCCATACATGGTCAATGCATATATTGCAGTATATTGAAAAATATAAGCACTAGTTTCCCATATATAGAATATATATATCGCATTATATTTTGCAGTATGTTCACATATATTTTTGGAGTAAACATTCCGAGCAGTAGTACTACATTGTTGTCACATGACTTAATTATGTTGCACGCTTTATTCAGCAAGTAGCATCCAGTTACCATCTTTTTCTGCATTCTAATCTAATTTTTTGTAAAATGAATATTATAGAAGAGGACTATGATCAAATAATGAGTCAAGAAAGGGCTGATATTATTTATAAATCATTTGAAAGGAAAGGTCGGCATTGCACGCAATGTGTTCTGTTGAAGCAAATGTGCCATTAGTATTGCATAATAATAAATAATAATATGTTACATTTATATAGCGCCTTTCTGGGTATTCAAAGGGTCACGTCAATTAACTGGTTGGGAAATTTTCTCACCGTCACATCCCTAATAAGCATGCATGGTGGTTGAGGAGGAAACTTCTACTCCACAGTTAATTGACGTGTGACAACACCGGTGGGCCCCATTGACCTTTTTTTCCTCCATACTATGGAAGTCAATGGGGAACCATCAACTGTTTGATTACCCATATTCTTCAAAATATCTTCTTTTGTGTTCAGCAGAAGAAAGAAGTTCATACAGGTTTGGAACAACTTGAGGGCGAGTAAATAAACTATCCCTTTAAAGCAGTGGTCTCAAACTCGAGGCCCACAGGGTGATATTTTGTGGCCCCCTACTTGACATTAAAGTTTAATGTTAACGCGGCCCGTCGTTGCGTGTGCCGCGTTTTTTTTTTTTTTTATCCCTTATGGGCTACCATAGATAGTCTCGTGACAGCTTACGGTGGGTTTGTTGTCAATAGTTGTCATAGACAACCGCGAAGTACAAACATACTGTGCCTGGAAAAAATTAGTGCGTCGCTTCAATTGAGCGCGCTTGCCGCGGGCCTACATTTGAAATAACGAACTTGAGCGCGCAAAATATGTGAGCGCGATATGTGAACGGCCCCTTGGCGAGCTACCACCAATCAGGCCACGAGCTACTGGTAGCTCGCGAGCGACGTGTTGGAGACCCCTGCTCTAAAACAATGTGAGAATAATCATTTTGAGCTTGTAATATGTGTCCAACAGGTTGATAAGAAGGTTTGCTTTGATTTGTGCAAAGTCAGTAATTTGCCGGAGACACTATACATGTGTAGAAAGAATTCAATAAGACGGGCAGACATGACTGCAAATATTTGTATTTCAAAAGCAATAATTGTTTTTCTAAGTATAATAAAAGGAAATGTGCCTTCCAAAAAAACATTCACTATGATATTGAAAATAAAAAGGACATGAGCAAATATAAGAATCACAAAGATGTGTTATAAAGAAAAGAAAAAGAATGTTTGTAAAATGAAGTATCGCAAAGATGTTGTGTATAAGGAAAAGACAAAGAAAGTTTGTCAAATTAACTTCAACTGTCAGAAGGACAGCTCATGAAGAACCAATCATGTACAGAAAGGAATGTTCAAATTCAGTGGAGCAGTTCAGAAGAAACGTTAATAATAAAGATTGAGAAGATTGGATCAGTTGTGCTCCTTTTTTGGAATACTTGAATACTATTTTTTTGTGGAATACTTGACCAGCCTGACCCAGACTCAACCTCCAGCGGCCCCCAGTTAAGTTGAGTTTGAGACCCCTGCTTTAAAGTGTCGTTCACACAGAATGTGTTTTTGTGTTCAAAGACAAAAGGTAGTGGAATGGAAAAAAGCAAGATGCATGGGTATACTTCCTTTTACGGGTTCTGTCTAGTGCACAATTAAATGTGTAACTCTTTTGAATGCGAGCGTGGACAAAGTCCTTTTAGGCAAGTCATGCCACTCGGCCGCCATCTTGGCAACGCCTCCGGGCAGCTATTTCGGACTAACAAGACCAGGCTCCTATCTAAATGAATGGGCAGAGAGTCAGAACTGCAGTTTCACTGGTCACCGGGACATAAAAACTGCATGTATAGAAACAGCAGTACATTATGATAAAAATCGCTGAAAAAGTTTGATGACTTTGGCCCAAAATAAGGTTTAAAAGGCCTTTTTCCTCACAGGTTATACTTTTACTACGCATGCGCAAGGGTTCTCTCCCTCTGTCGTGCGCGCGCTACACAGTTTGAAGCACAGTATGTGCGAGAGCGAGTATCTCGCTCTAGATTCCGGGAGATTTGAACTAATTTGCGGGCATCAGGGAGCCGCTATCAATCTGTGGGAGACTTCTGATGTCTGATATTTACACAACTCAAACATACACTGCATATCAAATCTGCCGCCTTTTCAAACAGTAACGTATTTTACGCTGTCGCAAACCTCAACTGTGCGCATGCGTCAGTGGAACCAGACGATAGGCTTAAATGTTTCCCGGCTTGACTGTTAAAAGCAGACGATTGGCTTTCCAGCGGGAGGGGCGGGACATGTGCATACAACCGCCATCTTTGGCGTTACGGGTTTTCCCTATATAGTTGTATTAAGGATTGATGAAGTGGCATGTCTCTATATAAATAGTCTCTGGCGTGGATGAACGAGTTCGGTACAACCTAGTGGACCTTTAGTTTTTGAACGCTCAAATCACTCGCGCTCCGCTTCGTGTGACGTAATTTCCGTCATCAGCACAGTCCATTGATGTCCGTGCACAATGTCCCATGCAGCCAGATTTTTGTGTCCAAGCAGGGGACACTAGGACAATCAACCTGGTGCAAACTGCTGTTAAGTGCTTAGCTCAAGGGCACAAAGGTCACAGTGGATCTTCATTAACTCTCCAGTTTATGGATCACACCGAGAGGGTTCACACAAGCAAACTTTAGGTCAGAGTCAAGTTTTAGCAAACATGTGGTAGTTAATCAGTATTTACTGACCCTGTAAAACTCTTCGCTGATGCTGGAGTCCTGAGCCTGAGAGAAGACTGTCTTCTTCACCTCCTCCCATTCAGCTTCAGAGCGCAGGGAGAGCAGAGCTACAAATAAACATACACAAACACACAATCAGCTCTCTGCTGACCTCATCATAAGTTTATCTTCTAAAAGCTAGTGGACTCTGATCTAAGCCCCTGTAAACCCTTCCCCCATCCACCAATCCCTACTATTGATTAGCTAAACTGTAATATGTGGGTCTCCCAGGGTAAATGTACTCTAGAAGTGCTTATGAGGACAATTCGAGGTACCTAAATTTTTGTGCATGATCTCAACCTCAGCATGGAGCAATCTACCGTAAAACTTCAAATAGTAGCCCGGGCTTTTATTTTCCCAAACCGTCGAATTGCACCGGCTTGTATTTGAGACAGGCGTCTATATGAGACAGGCCTTTATAATTTAGTGTTGAGATGTTGTTCATTGAGTGTATGTCTCTAATCTCTAAAAATCTCCAAATGCTCCACGTTAAACTGCGGTCTTCCAACGTTTTACTATCGCGTCGTCAATTGATTTTGATTAATATGCGCGAGGGAGAGCGAGCCTGACAGCGCTCGTGTTGTTTGAAGACGTGAGAGTGCGCGCGCGTGGCCGGGGCTCTCTCTCTCTCTCTCGTAACGCGCCCTGTCAAGCGCCGCAGTCATTCTATTCTACATCACTCATCGATCAAAAAAAGCTTTGGAGGGACAAAAAAATGCTTTTGCGGCCGCGAAAAAGCGGACGATCTGACGGTTTTAGAGGATTAAATACAACCCGAAACTAAAAAACAGACCCGGCCTCTATTTGAGACCGGCCTTTATTTACCCAAACCTGAAGCCACACCAGGCGTGTAAAAGAGACAGGCGTCTTTTTGGGACTCGGCTATTATTTGAAGTTTTACGGTAATTGATTTGCATATTAATAGGTCAGGAAGATTCAACTGCGAGTCCTGTTGGTCTATTCACTCACCTATTCTGTTAGGAATCGTCTAGAACATGCAGCAATAACAACACAAGATCTACATTTATTATCAGCTTCTGCTTCTGTTTCCATGGTTTTAGCTGCACTGACCACTTACATTTTTCAGAAGCTAGCTTTCAAAAGCTATACTATGTAGTATAGTGCCGAGCACACTTGTAACAAAACCAAAAATACAAAGGTTTGGACTATAAGTTAGATTACAAAGGTCTTTTAATTTGAAGGGCATTTCGAATATTTATAACAAAGATATTTAGAAATGATGAAACCCTCACCTGCAGGTGGTCTGAGAGTGCAGCTGTGCTCCTGTGCCCAGCCAGGTAGATGAAGCAGGGGGTCCAGGTAGAAGACCCAAGTGATGGATTGGGAGTCAGGGAGCCCGTCTGTGCCGGCATATCGAAGCCGCAAGCGTCCCCCAACGTTCTCCTCAATCACTGCAGACCAGACCACCCCAGCATCTTGACGGTCCACTAGCTCAACGTTTAGACCTTGACTTAACAGATCTATAGGATTACAGCCACGCTGGGCCTACAAACACACACGCACAAGAAAGAAAGAAAAAGCACAGATATACAGATAAAGTAATACGTAACAACCATCAATTAAAACAGTGTAAAAGACAATTCTGTCAGGACCACTATCGTCAAATACGATTGGCAATTGCATACAGTTAGGATTGGCGGTATGGTTCTGTTCTGGGCGAGAACTCCCTAGCATGGATAAGAGCAGCAATAACCCCCCTTAGGGTAAACAGAACAGAACCAACATGAATGTATTGCAGACATCATTAATTCAAGATTTTAAAGTACAACATAATTCAAGAATTTATTCTGATTCAAGGGGAGCTGGGGATGGAGGAGGGTTATTAGCTCCTGAGAAACGCGATAGCTGCTGATAATACTGAAGGAGCTTATATATCTAGTGACAGGTGTCGTATTCCTATGGGTAGACGTGGATCAGCTGAGAGTCAGCTGATGCGAGCTTGACTAACGTGACCTGCCAGAACTGATGCTACCCTTAATTTTTTTTACTCCTTAGTTTTTAATACGGTTTGAGGCTAGATTAAGTTTCAAATAAAAAAAAAACATGCCTTTTCTACCTTTTTTTTCAATTAATTGCAATTATTAATTATTCTCATGATTTTAATAGTCTCATTTCTTCATCTTAATATTTTGTGTTAAGAATCGTAGAGCACTTTGGGTAAACCTCTGTTGTTTTTTAAATGAGTTATGTAAATAAACATTGAAAACAAGCAACGTACACCACCGCTCACAAGTTTGGGGTCGGCAAGTTGTAAGTTTGATCAAGAAAACAGATAAAACAGTAATATTGTGAAACATTATTACAATTTTGAAAATGTCTATTTTAATATATTTTACATTTTTTATTTATTCCTGTGATGGTAAAGCTGAATTTTCATCAGCCATTACTCCATTTTGGTTTTGAAAACAGTTGTGCTGCTTAAAATGTTTGTGGAAACTGTGATACAATATTTTCAGGATTCTTTGATAAATAGAAAATTCACAAGAACAGCATTTATTTGAAATAAAAAATGTTTTTACTTTACTTTACATTAATTTTAGGGCTGTCAAATGATTAATCGTGATTAATCACATCCAAAATAAAAGTTTTTTTTTTACATAATATATGTGGGTGCACTGTGTATAATTATTTTATATATATAAATACACACACATGCTTGTATATATTTAAGAAATATTTTCATGTACATACTGTATATAGATTTATATATAATTTATATTATATATAAATATAAATATTTTATATATAAATAATATTTTTTTCTAAAATATACATGCATGTGTGTGTATTTATATATATACAAAATAATTATACACAGTGCACCCACATATATTTGGTAAAAAAAACTTTTATTTTGGATGTGATTAATCGTGATTAATCATTTGACAGCCCTAATTAATTTATTCAGTCCTTGCTGAATAAAAGTTATTTGATACTTGATTCTGATTGGTCAACGGCAGCATTAAACAGTATTTTTGTGTAATGACTGTTAACTGTATATTTACATCACTCTGCCGTCTCACTTTATTCATACCACTGCAACTCAAAACATTGAGATACTGACGTAGTAAAAATGGCATTAGTGGTATTCATTTTAATTTATCACCCTATCAGTTTATTTTTGCAATAATGACCAACTTTCTATACATTTTTCTTACATTTAAGGCATATCTCTTACCCCTTCCAGCAGACTAGCAGGTACACTGCAGGATTCAGCCAGAGCTTTCTCCAGCAACGCTTCCCAGTCCTCGTGCTTCTCACGGACACCTAAGCACAATTCAGGGCCACATTTAAGAGACATACAGTAGCAGATCTTCTAACATGCTATCCTGCTGACAGATTTATGCCATTTTGCACTTATGATGCCTTCACCATTGACATGGTATTTTGGGCCATAAGTGCAGCTGTCAATAAAGCACAGACAGCCAGAAGCAAAATGCCAGCAACCATCTGGACTCCCCCACTCCTGTACATACTGCACTCTATTCCAGGATTTTATTAATAAAAGAAGCTTTAAGTATTAAAATGGGTCCTTTAATAATTTCAGAGGAGTAAAGGCGGCAAGCTAAATAAAAGCCACAACATAAACACCCTTCCCCCATTTCCTGAATATGCCCACAAATCGACTGTGAGCAACCACCTACAGGAATTAGCACTACGCTGCAAGCAACACAGCATTTGAAGTACATAAAGAAATATGCAAATGTGGATGATGCATACACAGCTATTCAGACACAAGAGCATAACCTCTGCAGAACCTAAATTCAAATCATCTTCACCTATAAATCCACAACATTCAATTAAGGTCTAATCATCATAAATTAGAAAGCATAGTGAAATTGCTCAGTCGCCATTTTCACCCTCAGGAGGTCTCATCGGTCGACCCTGCTGCTTGCTCCATCCGATGGGGTGCAGGTCGGCGGTCATGATGTCGCACCAAAAGTCGGCACGCCGGTCATCCTGGTAACCCTCATATCGTAGCAACAGCAGCTGTCCGCAGGTGGTGATTATCGTGGCCACCCAGTACGTTGTTTCTGATTCGGTACGGACACACACCTCAAGCTTCATACCAGGAGTCAGACCCGTCTCCAGGCCCTGGTCCACCTGCAAAGGAAATCACTAGTATACTATTACAGTATTTATGAATAGTTTGAATTAGCTTTTATATTTTCAGTTTTCATTTTAGTTTGAAGTTTTAGTCATTTTATGCTCCTTTGTCATTTCAATTAGTATTTTTAATGTTTCTATTTAGCTTTGATTCATTTTTTTATTTAAGTTTTAGTAATATTAGTACAGTGTTATTTTATTATTACTGTATTTCTAAACTATTGTATTATTTATTAGTAGTTTGAATTGGCTTTTACTTTTATATTTTCAGTTTTCAATTACATTTTTTTTTTCTTAATTTTCTTTTGAATTTTTTATTAGTTTGTTTTAAGTTTCAATTTAGCTTCATTTGATTTTTAGTATTATTAATACAGTGTTATTTTAGTATTATTTATAAACTATTATATTATTTATTAGTAGTTTGAATTAGCTTTAACTTATATTTTCAGTTTTCATTTAATTTTTAGGAATTTTGTTATGTTCTTTTGTCATTTTATAATATTTCCATTTAATTTCTCATTTATTTATATTTATTTTTTAGTTTTAGTAATTTTAGTAGTGTTGTTTTAGTATTATTTATAAACTATTATATTATATTATTTATTAGTAGTTTGACAACTTTTCCTTTTATATTTTCAGGTTTAGTACAATGTTATGTTAGTATTATATTATTTATTAGTACTTTGACATAGCTTTTACTTTTATATTTTCAGTTTTAATTTTAGTTTGTTTTAGTACTTTTTTGTTCTTTTGTCATATTTATGTCATATTTTGTCATTTTTTAATGTTTCTATTTAGCTTTAATTTATTTTTATTTATTTTTTTGTTTTAGTAATATTAGTACTTATTTATTTCAGTTTAAATTTTTTATCTAATATTTATATATTTTTTCATTTCAGCTTTATTTTAATAATTTAATTTTTTTAATAGTTTTTACTTTAATTTAATAGTAACAACACAAAAATAATAACTTTGAAACAGGTTTCACAAACAATCCCCTTGTCTGAAATTGGCCGGCATACAGATTGTCCCGCCCTCAACTACTGTTTGGGTTGGCCGGGCGATGCACAGACAAACCTGCCAATGCATTACTTTTACTTGTCTTCGCATGGTTATTATTTTTTAAGGATCAGAAAATGACACTTCACCTTTTAATCATGAAACATAAATTCAGAGTGAGAGGAAATATCAATCGGGGCATTTTTTCTTTTATTGTGGCTTTATGTCACATATTTTATCCATATAAACACATTGATGTCAAACATTTCAACTGAAATACATCACTGTCTATAATATAAACACCAAATATATTCAACAACTTTAGCCTCTGCAACAGACAGCTATTGGTAATTCAGTGACCTCTGCAACGGCACTAAATCCATACGAAACCATAGTATTATAGCATATAGAATCTGATTAAATATATCAGTGTGGTTTAAAAGATTTAAAATCAGAGGAATGGACTACAGAGACTTTTTTGCCATTTGACTGACTATAAATACCTGGGGTATTTCTGTGGTATTACCAGTGGTATTATTTCTCCATGCCCTAGTTAATTCCTGACCCAGTAAATAAATTCTTTAAGATGTAAATGGTCACTTATTGGTCTTTCAATTCCAATGAGAGTAGAAATATATCACTAATGTATAGAGTTAAACTGAGTGTTGACTTCAGACATTTGACCAATGTCATAAAGCTTAGTTAAATTCAAAAGGTGAATGACAGTTTTCTTGTGTGCTGGCTTCAGTGCGGCTTATATTTCTGTTTTTGCCATTGGACGTGACCGAAAAGCAATGTCTCAATAAGCTAATTAAGCTGATTTAAAGATTATTCAGTAACACCAAGGACATGAGTTTGATTCCCAGGGAATGCATTAACTGATAAAAGGTTTACCTTGAATGCAATGCAAGTTGTTTGTAAATGCATAAAACTGTATAATGTATCAGTCTACTCCAGCTGGCTGCTTCAGCGTAATGGAAAAACACGTTTTTAAGCAGTATTTTATCAGTTTCAAATCTGAATAAAAGCTTTCAACTTCACTGTAAGATTCAGAATGGTGGTGTAGAACAAACACAAGCTGGCCAGATTTACTCACGTGTTTGAACGCATGATGAGGAACAGAAAGTGCCCCGTTTTCCTCCAGGTAGTCATCCCAGTTAAACTCGGACACATCCTGACCAGAGTCCGCATCTGAAACATTAAACGACCAATAGCTCATACACAGCAGTCTGCTCAGCTCTATCCACACAGCCTCATCACCTCAAATCAAACCATATCAACAGAGCGTGAAAGTGAATGCTATATATATATATATATATATATATATATATATATAGTATATAGTAATAATAGGCAGGAACTCCCAGACATTTTCAAGTGACCTTTGCATCCACCTCTTTGTGTCGAGGTAAACACTAAGCCAAAGCAATTTAAATATGTGCGATACAACTCTCAATTTTGTATTTTTCAGGTTCAGAGGATGGACTATAGTATTGTTTTATTTAGAAACGGAGCACAAAGAACATAAATAGCTTACCAGACTCCAGCGCCTCAAGGCTCATGTCTGAAGCCCCCGGAGGACAATCAAACTGCTTCTACATGAATAATGGGGGGGGGGGGGGGGGATCGGGGGGGGGGGGGGGGGGGGGGGATGAGAGAAAAACAAACATTGAAACAAAGAGGTAAATTATGATATTAGGATTACAATTTATATAAACGTTTCTATAAGTATTTGCCTGTGCGAGAGAAACTGTGTGCGCATGACAAGACAGAAACATGAAGAGACTTGCACAAGCCACATTTTACACAGCCTAGTTCATTTAACTAAGTGGGAGGAGGAATCCTTACTGCGTAGCTGCAAAGATAAAAGCCACTTCTGGCGCTCAGACTCCCCGCATCACCTTTGAGAAGCAAAAATGCACCATAATGCCCAGTATGGCTTTGCGAAATGAAAAATATTTGGTAGATTTGTTAAAGAGATATTTTACCCAAAAATTGTAATTCTGTCATAATTTACTCACCCACATGTTGTTCCAAACCTGTATAAGTTTCTTTCTTCTGTTGAACATAAGATAAGATATTTTGAAGAATATGGTTAACCAATGGGAAAAAATTCTATGGTCAATGGGACTCTTAGTTTCTGACATTCTTCAAAATATTGTGTTCAGGTTTTGAACAATGTGAATGTGAGTAAATAATGACAGAATTCTCATTTTTGGGTGAACTATCCCTTTAACATCACCTAAACAACACAGTAAAGTCTCTAACAATGCATGCAACAAACCATATAGAGAGAAAGGGAGACCAAATAAAGATATTCAGCTATAAACTCAACTAAAAAAAGCCAGAAACAATTTTGAAAATTGTTTCAAACTCAACATGCAGTCCGAAAAATGCAAAAAGAAAGAAAACGGCTAACAAAGTTGCATTAACACCGCCTATTCATCCGGAGCCGTCAAGCTGTCTTTGTGAAAGTTGACGTCTCTATTAAAGAGAGTCAGACATTCTCCCTGACAGCCGTTGGCGGGCCACGACCCTCCTGCTCTGCTGGGATCAACTCTTTCAGCCCACCCCCCTTCACTCCAGCACCGTCCCAGAGCCCTGGAGCACAGCCTGGGCCACGGACACAATGTGCTGGGGGTCACGCTGGTCTCCAATAGGGATTGAAAAGAGCAGCCAGGGCTGTTTAAAAAGCCATGTCGCTGTCCCTCAGTATGATGATCAACTGAACTTTAAAGCATATTGAAAAGGAATTACCCTTACAAAAAAAATACCATGGTAACGACAGTTTCCGCTCAAATAAAAACGTATTTATAAATATTAGTATTACTACCTTAACTGTTAGAGCTTAGTATAAGCCTGTATGGTCATCAAAACAAAACATAATAAAGTTAAATAAAATAACAAGGGTTTAATACTATTTAAAGTACATCATAATTTCATTTATTATGGTTTTATTAGAAGTAAGAGTAAGAGAGTGCTACAGATATTGTAGTAAACTATGGTATTTTGGCAGAAATTACAGTTACCACCATGGTGATTTTGTGAGGGCAGAATCGGAGGGGAAAGATACTGAGATGATATAGGTGAGACTGGGAAGCGTAACACTTTGTTTCAACATCTATGAGTAACATCAACGTTTATGAGTAACTTTTTGTGCTATATATACACTTCTCAAACTTTGATGCAATATTCACATATTTGTCTGTAACAAAACAAAGTAGTTTAGGCCAAATTCACACCGCAAAGGTGGCGTAGAAGCACTTCTGAAGTGGCATTTAAGTGTCTTAACACAGACTGACTGTTTAATGCAGCTCAGAGGTGGCATTAATGCATTTACTGTACGCAGCAATCACATCTGTATGATTTGATACTAGGGGGTGAGGTAGCACAGAGCAGGCATAATTAAGCTTTTATACGACATTGCATCTTTACACTGAATTTTGAGCAGCCTTAACTTGTCTGTGTAAAGATACCTACTACAAGTCCCTAAAGTGTCAAATAATGTAGAATACAAAGAGTGCTGCTGTTACAACCAATCCTGCTAATTTTCTGCAGGATTTTTTTTTTTTTTTGTGGTAATTAAAATTATTCAAAATTATTACAATCCCCTAACTATCCCTTCCTCTCTGCATTAGAAACATTTAAATTAAAAATTACAAACATATGGAAAACATATGATTCAAACACACACACACTTGTGTTTTTTGGGGACTTTCCATGATTTTTAAAATTTATATAATATATAAAATGGTATTCTATCCCCTTACACTAACCCTACCTCTAAATCTACCCATCACAGAAAAAAAAACACTTAGTATGATTTAGAAGTCGTTTTCCTCATGGGGACCAAAACATTTCTCCACATGGACAAGGATTTTGGATATTGCCATCTTTGTGGGGACATTTTGTCCACATAATGTAGGGTTTACCTGAACCAACCAACCAAACAAACAAACAAACAAACAAACACACACACACACACACACATCCATATTTACAGCTATACCCTTCTATTTTTGAACAAAAAATGACAACTTCTACAATCATATCTGATAATGATTTTCAGCCCTGTAGTTTTATGTTGGTGTCACAACATTACACATGAGGGAATGAGGAGACTCCAGGACAGCGGAAATCTATTTCCGTTGTGTCTAGTATGAACCATCAGCACATTCCTGCCAAACTCTGCCGCTCCATCACTTCATGCTAAAGACAACTTCCCTCCATTAAATACATACAAACACACGCGAAATACGGAAGGGAACATAACCGACTTAAAGAAATAAAGACGGAAAGAAGAAGATGAAAATGACGCAGTGACCGCTGTCACGTGCACCAACAACAGTCAGGTCAGGTCCTCAAACTATTCAAAGTGTTCATGGACGTTCAGACGAATTATGTATGTTAATTGTTTTGCAAAATGAGAGGACATTCATTAAAATAATATTTTAGATGTTTATACTGTATAAATTAACACTTTTTCTATTTAAGAATAATAGTATAATGGTAAAAAACATAGTTGTCTTGTTTTGTTTTGTTTTAGTGGCAGAATGAGAGTGATGACTTACAACACAACACAACTTCTATTATGTAACACGGCCAGAGAATGAAACTGTCATCAATTTCTGAAAGTGCTTGGGCTTCCATTTAACTTTATTATTTACACATTAATGTTACTAAAACAAAATAAAATAAAAATGTTCTACAATAAAAAATAAATGCATCAGCGTTATGTACAACCAAAGCCCAAATAAACGCCATGTATAAATAGAACTGATAGCTGATAGCTATAAACTGATTCGATTTAGTGAGTGTAATTCATAGAAATCGCCCAATAATGGATGATGATAGTTCGCTGGACAAGCGCGGTGTGTTCGGCTAGCTACATATAACTGGATAATAGCATTTAATACATTCACGCCGACCGGGCAACTTTCATTCCGAAAGACACATCGTGTAATTCAACATTATTTGACATGAAACATTTTCTCTGCACTGATTCGCGAGGATTTGTATGTTGATGTGAGTGCGGCTGATTTCGTGCACATGCTAAAAACGCCTGTAACCAAGTCAAGTTACTGAAACGTCATAGCTTAAGCAATAGAGCCAGGCAGGCACTCATACGAGCGAGCACAAGTCACCTTTTTTTGGAGACGGGAAAAAAGATGCAGGCAACGCAAAATCGCTCGTTAAAGCCAAGGTTGATTAGGGCAAAGGGTAAAATACATAAATATTTGGGAATGCATTTCGTTTCTTACCAGTGAGGAGTTTTTCAAGTCGGTTTTAGATGCCGTGTCTTTTTCCGCCTAGTCGTTCAACGACCTCATTCCAATATGGCACAAAGTGTGAGTGCGCATGCGCCGCCTCTCGCGCGAGCCTCTCATCCACCACGAGCACGGGGATTGATATTTGTTGGCTTTCAGCGATTAAAAAAAAGGCGAACTTGCCACATATTTCAACACAATGTTTACAATGCCTCACCGAACCACTAAAATAACGTTAAAAGAGTACTTTTATTGCTTATTACAGCTTTTATTTGTAATGTTCCTAGACTGTGAACAATAAAAACGGTGGGACGCAATATTAAACGATTTCTTAGCTGTCATAACCTGTTCAGTCTTATTGCGCGGAGGTTAACGATTATCCTGGTTTCTTTAAGTGGGAATGCAGTCTATGTTGTCGTGGTATACAACATTTGCCGCCCAGCCTCACTGCCGTTTTGTTCAGTACAGAAAGTGTTTGTCCTATTGGCTAGAAGAGCTTAATCTATCGCACAACTGCGCCACGCTGAGCAGCCAGTTCCTCTGTGTAAATAATCTTTCTGGATCCTTCTATGTTTGTGGAAACAGCGATTTAACATTTTATATTGCTATGATTAATTCCTATATAGCACACTGAATGTAAATGTTTCATTCAAAAACTTGTCTGTTTTGAACAAAATCTGCCTGGTGTCTATTGTGTCAACATTTCAAACCAAACAGAAAATAATAATCATCATATTTATTATATGTTTGGAAAAGAATGAGCTTTGATTACCTTGTCAGGGACTGACATTCATCCACAGAAAGTAAAAGTAAAAATCACTTATCTTATAAGACGATTTCCTCTCTGGAAAAAAAAAGAAACAGAATCTGAAAGGCTCTTAAAAAAGAGCTTTGGTTTACACACATTATTATCTTTGTTTTGTAAATGCTTTTTTATTTTATTTTATTTTTTATTACTCTCTAAGACCATATATTTTACCCAGCTAAGTGAGAACAATCAGAACATGTATTTTAATCCTGAATAGACAAAAGGAAACAATCTGTATGCCTTATCTAAAAATGGTTAAAGTTATAGAAATGAAAGTAGCATCAATGTGATTTACTCATGATGATTTTAATTCAATTTTAACCACTTGGAACTAGAAAGGTGCAAAAAAGGGGAGAATTAGAATAATTATCAGGAGATTGTGGCAAAAATTAAAAGATAATCAACAAATAAATGAATATTTGAAAAGTAGTTTTATAATGTGAAATGAATCAATCAGTTGCATTTAAAATGTACTGATCACATAGGCCTATGTGACAAACTGACATGTTTACAAGTTGCTATGATTTATAACAGAGAGAGAAATTTTAACAGTATTAATACCTCTTTTAAATATGCCTTCAATGTGTAGTTACATCATACTAAAGTGTTGACGTGCTTCCTTCATTGGAGCTTTGACCCAGACATCTTTCAGAGGGACAAACTGAAATTAAACAGCTCTGGTCATGTGACTACACCCGCCATGTAAAAAAGACAGTCTGGTCTTTCATTCATAGTTGGCACCTCTGTTGGGGTATAAAATACATCAACAGCTTTTTTTTAGACACTTTAGCATCAAAAGTAAACTTTAGTCACGGACATAACCGGTGGATCTGAATTTGCTGAAATGCTCCGGATCTTTAGGTCAAAAGAGGCTTAACATGCAGTTTAAAGCCATATCCGCTAGATGGCAGTAATTTCAATCCTTTCGAATTAGTTTAAGCGGCTGTGATGGTCGCTGTCTGATGATGATGGCTCAGCACAAAGTACACTGAACAAACTCCTTGTCACTTCCTTAGAAAAAATGATCTACGTTTCAGGACCTAAATTAAAATACAATATCCTTAAACCGTTTTTTATTCATTCATTTTGAGGGACCGCGGTAGCCACAAACAGTTTACAATTTTTATTTCAGTAACATTTTGGCAGAAGCTATTATTACTATGGTAAAACTTTATCATGGGCGAAGCGTCAACAAACGCAACACGACAAAAGTCAAAATTAAAGTTGAGGAAACCTTTAATGGTGTTGAGTTCTGAGGAGTAAATTCAGTAAAAAAAAAAAGATTACCTCCAGTAACAGCAACAGTTCAGAACAATATACATATAGCTATGTACAGTATCATACTTTATTAAAATACCAACATTAAATAACAGTATATATATTTATACTCTCACTTTCTCAGGAGATGTATATCCTCCACCTACCAATATTCTGTACCAACTATTACAGTACCATAAAAGTAAACCTATGCATGATCAAGATGTCTAGCAGGACATTAATATTTCTAAAGTTTTCATAGTGCAGAGGTTTTAGGTTCACCTACACAAGACTTCCATTATTTATACATCCATAGTGAAAAAAACAACAATTTTTGTGTACACTCAGCAGAGCTTATGCCAGCTCACACTGGGAAAATCAGCATCTTACAATTACACTGTAAAACTTGTTTCAGATCAACAAGAAAGGATAGATACAAAAAAAGGCCAAATCATCCCACAAATGAACCTTAGTATGAGAGTCTATGTTTAACAATGAAACGTTGTATGAGGGCGAACAAGGAGGATTCAAGAGTGTTAAGAAGGCCACTATTCAATCAAATTGCAAAGTCCCAGCATATTATACAGTCTACAATATACAGTCCCTTTCTCTCAGAGTCCCTTTTTGTCAAGTTGTGTATATGCGTGTCTGATAGTAAGGGTATTATTTAATCCCATGAACATATACATTTCTATGTTAGGGATATTACAAAAACAAATATAGTACATGATTAAAAGAAGTTCTTTTGATTTGAAGTTTTGATCATTTGATTAACAAAGACATAAATACACCATTATCTATTTGGACCATCCAGAAAGTATAACAAGTGTAACACTGGTTGAACTCCTGGCTCCTGTATGCCATTTTTGATTTCGAGAGGGGCAGGTTTAGAGGATCCTGGCCAGAATGTCTCATTTCTCCAGAATGGTGTCCATTTTGGGGTTAATGAAAGAGAAGCCATTAAAGGCAGTCTGGTCCATAGAGTCAATCAGGTTCTTGTCGCCTAGAGAGAGACGAGGCTTCTCGCTGAGGAACTCCCGGTCAAAGTTGCTACAGTCATTGGGCGATTTCTACAAGTAGAGGAAGAGAGATGGCAGAAGTCACTTTTAAGACCGTTAATGGGTCTTTGAACGCAAAGTTTCAAGGGGGAACACAAAACATTTGCGAAAGAACGCAAAAGCATTGACTTATTATTTTTTCCAGCATCATGTCCCTATAGGGGCTCCGTGTATTAGTTTGCAGGAGACATGAATAGTAGGAATAATACTATGACTAGGCAGCTCAAGTTTCTGAATACCAGATATGCATTGTTGACGTGTACTGTAAATGTGGAAATCTGTAGTATGACATCAGTAGTAAAGTTTTCCACTTGGACTGGGGAGGAAGTTTTGCTTTCTGAAAGTTGCAGTATTTTTTTCCATTGTAAATCCAACTCTTATCTCAGCAGATTAGGGAAAATCTGATTCCTCATGACATGATATGACCTCTTTAAAAGAGATTTCCTGTTATTGTAATGTCGTCATACGAGCACAGATAAGGCATAGGTTTTTAGTTTATCATTAACTGTAGTTTTCAGCCATGAAAACTACACTAGCTAAACATTTATGACAGATATTCTACTATTTCATTTGTTCATTTCTGTTAAACACACAATCACTTTGCAATCAGATTCAATCATGAAATGAATCATGCATGTAGGCGAAACCTCTCTTTAATAACCCTCATAGCAGTGTTATTTAAGTATTGTTTAAATACTATTAAAGTATTTAATCATATTTTGAATTTGTCTTTATTTTTTTTATTTTTTTAAATTGTAGCTATTTTGTTTTATGCTTTAAATACTTCTATTTAGCTTATTGTTTTCTCTATTTTAGTACTTTACCTTACAACAAACTTATTTTATTTTAGTTAGTTACAGTAGTGGCCAAAAGTGATGTCCGGCCAAGTAAAATTGACATCTTTACCCTTTTTTAAATAATAATAAAAAAACATTATAAAAAATGTGTTAAAGAATTTGCAACCATATTGCGTAGTTGTGCTTAGAGTCGATTGTTTTATTTGGGATAACGCAAATAAAAATGCAAATTTGTGCCGACATAATTTTTGGCCAGGCTGTCATACAAAGAAATTATGAACATGAAAAAACAAAACAACAAACAAAATATTAATAACTCATTATGTTGTAGTCAGTGTATGCTTTTGTATTCATTTTGTTGCATAGCAATATCAAACCTGTATCTGTTTAGTGTTTTGGTCTTCTCTCATATTAACAATATTTAAAAAAGATGAAATAATTTCCTCATATTTTGATGGTTTAATTGAAAATGTATGATCATTAAATAGAGAGAGAGAAATAAAACGATTTTTAATAGTTTTTTGTTTTAGCTATCAATAACAACACTGGCTTATAGAAATGAATAATCTATAACCTGGCTGATCTGTCAGAGTTATGTCACATTTTGAGGAGCAAATAGCTTCACAAACTTTTACTCAAATCAAATCAGACTCTTACCACTTTTGGCTTGAACGGTGGAGACACCTCTCGTTTCTCCAGGGCAGGCCAGTTGATTGTCTTGAAGAAGCCATGTCCACGGACATTTCCCACAACACCAAGCCGTCGGGTTGGATCCCGCTCAAATAACTGTGAACATGTAAAAGGCACAGATTTCAATTTTGAGAACATAAACTTCCTCCAAGAGTGGCAGGCCTGTACAAGTAAGTAAATGATTCTATAAAGCATCAATACTGACAGCGTTCATCAAGATAAATCAGTGGGTCAGACTCACTTTCTCCATCAGGTCTTTGGCCTCCTTGGTAATCCATCGTGGGTAGTGAGGTACATCCATGCGGATCGACTCGAACAGCTCGTCCTCATCATCGCCCTGGAACGGCGACTGGCCAATCAGCATCTCGTAGAGCAGCACGCCGAATGACCACCAGTCCACAGAGAAACTGTATTTCTGTCCCAGCAGGATCTCGGGAGCAATATAATCTGGTGTGCCACAGAACGTGGTAGCTCTGTTTTCTCCAATTATGTTCTCTTTGCACATCCCAAAGTCTGCAATCTTAATATGTCCATCCTTGTCCAGCATCACATTGTCCAACTTTAAATCTCTGATTGAGTAGAAAAAAAAAGAAGACATGAAGTCCACATGAGAGTTTTAAGTTATATGGTTCAAAAGTTTGAGGTCGGTAAAAACAGAAATATTATAAAATATTATTATAATAAAAAATACCTATTTTCCCTTTTAATATATTTAGAATGCAATTTATGGTAAAGCTGAATTTTCAGCATCATTACTGCAGTCTTCAGAGTCACATGATCCTTCAGAAATCATTCTAATATGCTGATATCACAATTGTGCTTAATAATATTTTTGTGGAAACCATGATACATATTTGCAGGACTCTATGATGAATAGAAAGTTCAAAAGAATAACATTTATTTAGAATAAAAATCTTTTGTAAGATTATAAAAGTTTTTACTGTCACTTTTAAATAATTGTATAAAAGTATTACTTTCCTAAAAATCTTACCGAACTCACTGAATATATAAACAGTGTTTATATATATATATATATATATATATATACTAATAATATATATTAATCAATTCTAAAATAAAAGTTTGATTTATATACATATATATATATGTGTGTGTGTGTGTGTGTGTGTGTGTGTGTGTGTGTGTGTGTGTGTGTGTGTGTGTGTGTGTGTGTGTGTGTGTGTGTGTGTGTGTGTGTGTGTGTGTAAATGTATAAACAGTATACCGGTATATATATATATATATATATATATATATATATATACATACATACATACATACACACACACACACACACACACACACACACACACACACACACACACACACATACATAATATATATAAATACATATACAGTATTTATATATATATATATATATATATACTATATAAAGACAAAATTTTATTTTAGATCGATTAATCGATTTGACAGCACTAATATATATGAGTATATATATATATATATATATATATATATATATATATATATATATATATATTGTTTCCTAGATAACAAAAACATTTTTTAAGAGTTTCTTCAATATGAGTGTAAATATACAATAGCAGATTTATCAATTTTAGGAGCATCTCTTTGAGAAAATCCAGTGTCATCAGACCACAGGAACCTTTCTCTCACCTGTATATAATGCCTTTAGAGTGGAGGTACTGTAGTCCACAGATGGTTTCAGCAGAATAGAACCTGGGACAGGAAACAGATTTGAGCAAAACACTTGCTGATGTTTAACAACAAAAATTATATATATATTTCTTGATTATGGAAAATAAATCATATGCTCCAGTAAATGTTTAACTGTTTGGAGATAATTTATTCAGAACGCATGTCACTCACGTGGCTCTGTACAAATCAAAACGCCCCTTATCCTGAATGTGGAACATCAGATCTCCTCCATTCAGATACTCCATCACAAAGAATAAGTGCTCCTATTGATAAACACACAGAGCAGCATCATTAATGAGCGACAGTGGATTGTGACAATACATTGACCACAACACATAATTCTAAAGCAAATTATCTTAGATTTAGATATTTGTGTGAGCCTGTCAAAAAAAAAAAAAAAAAAATCAAAACTGACTGTGAGGCAATTTCCCACAGTAATCTTTTGTGTAATTCCCCTCCATACATTCCCATCTTGCACAGACACACATATATGCATCTGCTCAAGACAGATAAGTATAAGCTCCCAAATAGAACATGGTATTTAAAACATTCATGTGTTCCAACATTCCATGCCATTCTCATAATGTTCCAACGTCAAACCCATTGTCCCGCACACATGCCAAGCAGGCTGACATGTTGATAGACATGAAACATAGCAAGTATAATGGGGTGAACTAGTTCTTCAGCATGCTTTACGGAAAGGATAACAAAGCATTGTTCTTGTAAATGCTTAACTGTAACCTTGATTTATGTCATGGTTTCACTTTGTTGGGCCACATTACATATTCCTAAGTATCCCTAATTCATTAGAATTTTTAGCACTTTTAAAATAATAAAAAAATATTAGACATAATACAGTCTGCTAGATAATCACTGCAACAATGTGTAAGGCATATTAGTGAGTGTCTTTGTATTTCCTTGTATAGACTGCCAATGAAAAGTTCAGGGTTGGCAAGATTGTTTTAATATTTTTGAAATTAAGTCTTTTATGCTCACCAAGGCTGCATTTATTTTTATGAAAAACACAGTAAAAGCAGTTATATTGTGAAATATTATTAGATTTTTTTAAATAACTGTTTTCTATTTTAATATATTTAAAAATGTTATTTATTTTGTGACGGCAAAGGTGAATTTTCAGCATCATTACTCCAATCTTCAGTGTCACATGATCTTTCAGAAATAATTCTAATATGATGATTTGCTGCTCAAGAAATATTACTTAATATCAATTTGAAAACAGTTGCTGCTTAATACTTTTGTAGAAACTGACATAAAAAAAAAAAATCAGGATTCTTTGATGAATGGAAATTTAAAAAGAACAGCATTTATTTGAAAAAGAAATGATTATAAATATCTTTACTGTCACTTTCGATTAATTTAATGCATCCTTGCTGAATAAAAGTATTACAAGTAATTTCTTACTGACCCCAAACTTTTGAATGGTGTTATACGTGTAACGTTATTATTTGGAAGAACACTTACCTTCGACTGAAAGGTGCAGTAGAGGTGTGTAAGAAAAGGGTTTTCCCAGGCTAATGCCAACACTCTTTTTTCCACCATCGTGCACTCCACGTCATCGTCCATAAGCACAACATCTTTCTTCAGGGCCTTTACGGCAAAATATTCCCCCTTTCCTTTGAGCTCAGCCAGTATCACCTAACATGGGAACTGTTTAAAGACTGGACTTCATAATAATTCAATGCAGAAATCTGTACACTGTTTGTTTCTTACCTTTCCAAAGCTGCCTTTTCCCAGTACCTTATGGAACACGAAGTTGCTCATGGAGACGCGGGATGGGATGCTGGAGCTGGGAGGGCCAGGGGTCGTTTCATCCCATTGTTTTCCATACTGAGAGGCCTCCGCTAACACAAATATACCAATGTCCACACATTAATAAACACAAAACGGGGTTATAAAAAGTTAAATAAAACTAAAACAAAAAAACATAAAAAACATTTCCATTGTTTGAAATAATTGTTAACTGAAAAAAAGTAAACCATTAAAAAACTAAACTTATTTAATTTCAGCTAGATGCCAAAGCAACATTTCTTATTTTATTTATTTATTTTATTTACTTATTGTAATAAAATAACTCAAACTAAAATTGAATTTTTTTTTTTGTATTAAAAAAAAAAGACAAAAACACAACAAAATTACTACACCTTTACCCACAGAAAGTGAATTTGAGAAGTGACTTCATACATCCACTGAAAATCACAATGGCACAAGCTTGACAAAAGCCATTGGAAAATTGGCACAGAAAATACATTAGAGCTGAGAAAAACTTTATGTGCAGATGTCACAGTTAGATATTTTCTAATTAAATTAAATGTATGAAATGTTTAAATGTGACAATGGTTTGAATACGTTTTGGAGCCACTGTCTATTAATTAAAATCAAAGCTGATCTAATAAAAATGTACCAAAGTTAAAGGGGAGCAAAAATGCATCAGGGAATATGCAGTAATGGAAACTCACCACTAGGGTCCACTGGCATGTTTTTCTCTATGGCTTGATAGATTCCAATTTCCGACAGACTGGGATCTGGACGCTTTGTGGAAGATTTCTAAACACAATAAATGAAAATAGTAAGCATGTCAGATTTTGTCTACTTTATTTCTGGGAGTGTGTTACACACTAAAAATACAGAGAACATGACTCAGTATGTCAAACATAATTCCACACATGAAAATTCAACACACACAACCCCAAAAAATGATCTTTAAGGTTTATAAAATGCAAATGTTATTGCAGATGCCCTGAAAACGAGCCAGGGCAACTAGTTGAATCACTTACCAGGCTGACTTGAGTCAAAGCCTCAGCTAGGAGCTTCTGGTTGATTCCGCACAGATTGGCAACCTTGGTCTGGCATTTATGATGGATGTTCATGCTACATTCTGAACAGAGAGAGTTAGTTGCATTAGATATTAAAAACAGAGAAAGAGACAAAGAAGGAAAAAAGACATTGCAAAAGAAATGGGAAAACAGGTGAGAGACAACCACCAATAAAACAAAATCTTCCTTACCTTCGCACTTGAGGCCTTGTTTGACCATTCCCCACAGCAGACTCCCACAGTGGTCGCAGAAGGTCGGGCTCATGTAGTTATGGGTCTTGAAGCGATGTGGCATGTCAATCTTAAAGCGCTCCTTCTGAAACTGCAGACGTACCATCAGCACCAGACTGAATCGAAATGCTTGTGGGCAGAGATGAAAAGTCTAAAATGCCTCATGATGGCCCTTCATAGCCTCATGGACCCCAGAACTGCCCACTGGGAGTGGGACTAATGTAATCAAAGACTCCGGACAAAAGTATTGCTAAAAAACTTTTGTTAGTCTCCATGCCGAGATGTTAAGAATGATCGATTGATTATAAGGCGGCAAAATGGGCTGTTTATGAGTTAAGTGACCCTGACAAAGACATATTTGCAACATGGCAAGCTTTTATAATGCCATGAGCTTCTATTGATTACTGACAGACTCTGATCCCTGCTCTGTTCATTATTGGAATTGGAAACTGAAGGACCGGCCCTTTGGAACTGCAAGTGATTTTTTTTCCCCTTTCCATGTCCTTGTTAAAATTTGACCATTAGACCCAAAACAGTTAAGCAGTTATCAGAGAGGTACATACTTTATGATATTTACAGTACAAAGCCAAAAAAAAAATCATATATTATAATATTTATTTACAAATGAAATCACAATATTATAAAACAGGGTTCGTACAGTTACTGTAAAATGAAATTCCAGGACTTTAAAATAACTACTTTTGGTTTTCAAGGACTGCAATCAGAGATCTCACTAATAAAACAATATCTTTATTATTTCAAACTCTAAAAAGGTAAATATATAAATAAACATAAAGTAATAAAAACAAATGGTACAAATAAAGTGCAGAGACTGTGGTAACTTTAACCATTGAAAGGATACTATCGCTTTCCTTATTTAAACTGATGTTTTATTAATGAATATATGATTGACTTGAAGAATGAAAGCTGTATCATATAATTGGATATTTATATGAGCAATGTCATGTTAAGCACTTTAATTACTTTATCATGAATATGGCTGTTTTCAAGGTTTTTACAGGACTTAAATGTCAAAAAGTCAAATTCAAGTACTTCAAGCACATTGTACGAACCCTGATAAAATAATCAATATTGATGTACAGAGTGACATTATACATTATATATGTGCAGAGTCATTTATCATAGAAACTATGATATCTTATGAAATATATATATGAAACTATATATCTTACTAATCCCAAACTTTTAAACCGATATATACTGTGTATATATGTATATATATATATATAAACTTAATATTGCATCAATAGTAAGTTTTGTTTTGCTAAATATTGCTTTCATACTTTAATTTTTTTTTTTTTTTATAGGTTTTAGCTCAATTAACAATTGGCGGACCCCCTACAGAACTGCTTCAGACCCTCTCATGGTGATGGACCTCTCCTTGTTGAAGAGGACTCTAATGCTTACCACTGTATCTCGACTGTTGGTTGCTGTTCCTGTGCATCTCCCAATGATCTTATCAATGCACTTCTTGTGAATGGCCGCATTGCATTCTAGAAAAGAGCAAGGGGGCAATAAGGTGTAATGTGTTCAAATTACCTTCTGATTAATCTAATGGTACAAAAAATCTTATTAAAAAAAGATTTCAAAAGAGCCCATTATGTTAATTCCGCACAGGAGGATGATTTATGTGCCACACAGAAAAAAACTTGTCAGAATGCAATATTATATGACTGATTTTGTTGTTCAAGGAACAAATCTACTAATATGTATAATGTGTGTTCTTACTAAGAAACAGATGGAAGGGTCTACAATAGATAAAGAAAGCTGTGAAGATACTTACGCCTACATTTGTAGCCCTGCTTGTTGAGACCCCTAGAATGCAAAAAAAAAAAATAATAATGAAAAATGTTGGATTATTGATATTTCTACACAGCAGGTGATAATAGACTGTTAGTACACAAATGGTATACATTTGAAACTCTTATTAGGGAGACTTTGGATAAATGACTCTCCAACACAAATACATTTATATACAAAGCGTGAACAAAGCACTAAAGTAATCCGTCTCATGCTGCACAGGAAGGAGACAGCCCAAGGGACTCTGCTGAGGCGGCTGAAATATCAGAGGAAAGTCCAAGTGCGATTGCGCAAACAAACACAGATGCTATCCAATACTATGACTTACAAACACACACACCAAGATTATTACTGCCAGACGCTTCTGGCTACTTACAGATATTACTTTCTTATGCCTATATTAAAGATAATATTATAGAATTATCCCATAATATTAAATATTTCTAATAGTGATGAAATAATATTTCTAATTGTTTAATGTTAGTCATGCAGTGACTGGCTATTTATAATGCTTTTTTTTTTAATTCAAAGTGACTTATCTCGCTGGATCCCATCTCCCTGGACTAACCTGTTATAGTACGCCAATTAGAGGACTTTGCGTCACTTTGACTGAGAAGTACATTGCTTAAGGGCACATCAGCGCTGCATTGTAATCTCAGTAATTCTCTAGTTTCTGGGTCATTTCAGTTTGGTATCGAACTTGCAAACTCTGCTTTCGCAGTCTTCATCACGAACCACTGCTGTTGCTAATACTTGGGACCAGGTCTAGGGGCATCGCTAGACCCTTTTTACTGGGGCATGAGACCCAGTGAAATACGGCTGTGTTCTAGTAAAATATTTCTAATAATAATAAAAATAATAATAATTTGGTACATTTATATAGTGCTTTTCTGGGTAATCAAAGTGCTTCATAAATTATATGTAAAATGGAGATTACCGTACACCAAACTGAGAATAGTTTTCTCTAATATTTTAGCAATCAACTCTGTTTTCTATCAGCTGTTTAGAATCTGAACTAGTATAGTGATGGCAGATTTGTGAATGAATCACTCCATTATTCTAATCAGTCAAATGGGTTTGCCAGGTCTTGTTCGTGATTCAGTTTGATTCATTCAAATGCAGAACCTGATTTCACCAAGTGCAACATAGTTGTTGATCCTGGAACAACATTCCAATCAACCAATCAGATTCGAGGGACAAGTTTGCAGTTTATGTCAAGTTTAGGCTTACAAGCTTCTTCATCAGTGTTATTCACCTATCATTTCCCTCTGATCGCAGGCATAACTTTTCAGAAGGGATAGAAATGTTGTTCCAGAATCAACAAAATATGTTGATCCAGAAATGCGTCTAACCCAACACAATCAGGACGCGCCATTCAGACGGAATCGTTTCTTTATTATATATATTTTATAAGAATAAAAACAAAAATAGCGCTGGATGAGGTGAATATAGGAAACAAAACTTGCAAATATTATCTATCTTTTGTCAACAGCAAAGAAGTCGAATGACTCGGTATTACAGGAAAAGACCATTTATATCTAAAACAATAATAATTAATAAAAACAAAAAAAAGTATTAAATATGGACACACGTTTTATACTGATGGAAAGCTAGAGACACCCCTGCTGTGGGCATGATACCTTGAAAAAAAAGATTTTACAATTTTATGCATAGCGGACATTAAAATATATGTAGAGGATCTAAGTCATATCTAGGGATCAATCCAGAATATCATATTTAATATTATAAGACTTGGGCTCTTTTGAATTAGGCAACTACTTATAAATGCCCTAGCAAACACATAGCAATGCACTAAAAAAAGAAACCCTGGCATCCACCTAAAACAAATGGTGGCGATGAATGGCGACAAATGTATTCTCTAGTTAACTCTAGTTATAAATATATTTTACTGTAACTGTGTGTACAAGCTATTAGATGTGGGATGATTACTGTGCAATAAAAGTGCATCTGTAACACCATTTGTTTTTCTTTAATTCATTTATTTACTCACCACACAAACTCCCTGCACACCGAGCAGAAGGTGGGCTGTTTGAAGAAGGTGGCTGTGAACTCGTGGTTCTTGATGAAGTGAACCTTGGCCTGTTTGATGGCTCCTCTCCTTCGGTTTATTGTGAGGAGGCCATCTTCCTCTTTCATGGTCATTGAGGACTTTGATTCTGTGAAGCAGGTCAAAACAGGGTCTTTTGAAATAGACAACTCTCTAATGTTTTAAAATGACATTACATACCTATATGATATTTAACCAGAAAATTTATTTTTATTCTATTTATATCTATAGATATAACATATCTATTTACTGTTATGTTGTTTAAAAGTCTTTTGATTTTCTTTTAAACTCATTTTGTGAACAAAAAAAGGAATACAAAGAAAAGATCAAATAGAATAGAAAATGTAAATGGCACCGTGCTGAATAGCGTTTTTCGTGTTCCACGGCAAAATAAAAGATTCATTTTTGGAATAAACGTCCCTTAAATGGGATATTTATTAATAACTTATGCCTAAACATTAACTTCACTGGCTTTTGGATACTAAATATGTGGTACATAATGATAATTCTGTTTATGATGCCTTCAGCATTTTAATAGATTACAATCAACTCATTTCCTGCTGAGAGTTAGAAACAAAACTCTCACGGGTTGAGATTGATGGTTTTGCCCTCTGGCACAGTGCCAGAGTGTATGACACAATTATTGTTTTAAAGACAAGTAAAAAGACAAGTCTTTCCAAATATCACTCTGAAAATATATGTTTTTTACAGTACAGTAACAACCAGTTGTATATTTGGAGATATAATAAGCAAATATGCTATAATGTCTAAAAAAAAAAAAAAAATTAGATCAAGAGAGCAAGAGAAGGAGGAATGAAAAAATATACCAGCATGAAAACATGAGTAAGACAGCATGAGTAAGCAAAGACAAGACAGATACCAGCTGACATGACTAAGCTGATATCTGAGGGTGGTGACATAATGGAAAAAAAAGACTGAATTTCAAGAAAGAGGGGAAAGCCACAGTGGAACAAAGGGAAACAAAGGGAGGAGATGCTACTAATAGAAATAGTCATAGTCAAAGTCAAGTTTATTTCTAGAGCACATTTAAAACAACAGAAGTTGACCAAAGTGCTATACATCCAAAATCATAAATAAACAACAACAAAAATAAAACAACAACAAGACGACAAAAACACACAGCTCTCAAACTGAAGTAAAAGCCAAAGAATAGAAATATGTTATGACTGCTAGTGTTGCGGAGCGGGCGTGTTACGGATACATGGTGTAAATTTTTTAGCAATCAAAAAGAGTGTCTAATTAATTGAAATAATGTATTCTGAATCATTAAACTTATACAACATTAATATATGAAAAAAAATTCACTAACTCTGTGTTGTGTTTTTTTCTGGTAATAAAACACATAAAACACAAATGTTATCATTTATCATCAATTTTAATCATGAAATTAAATAAACTTTTTGTCAAATAACGTGCTGCACAATGAGCTTTACTGTTAAAATTAAAACATGGATTATTTCTTAAATTCAGTTTTTATGATAATTTATTTGGATTAGTGTTAGTATTATTACATTGGGACATATCTAAATTCTACTGTACAACGGTAATATATTTCTGTCAAGTTAAACCGAACTTTTATTTTGACGGGTTGCCGTGAAGACCTTTAGTTTTGAGTTTCTGTGCGTTTATGTCATGATGATAGTTTTTCTCAAATGAAGCGGTTAAATGATCACGAAGTGACTTTCGGAGTGGATCTAGAGCCTGGAGAGGAAGTTCATGCATTTGTGTCTTCATATAAGCAAAAAACAGCGCAAGCGTTACACGTGCTTCAGTGTGTGTGTGTGTGTGTGTGGTAAATGAAACTGCACGTCGCGTCGGCTGCACCATTCATTCACACAGAAAAAGCAGGATTCGTATTTAAATTGTCTTTGTGGTTTAATATCCACAAACACTTGTCAACATCGCGATTTGATTTTGAACTGCTTTCTATTTATTCCTCAAAAGATTTACAAATTCCGTGAAATTCCGCGTAAATTCCTTTTTTATGACTGGGCATTTTAGGGGGGCCGGGGGGTCGCTTTGGGGGGGGCGGGCCGCCCCCCTAAAACAATGGTAGGGGAAACACTGATGTTTTAAGACTAGATTTAAAAGTGGAGAGTGTTGGGGCCAGCCTCTGAGACAATGGTAAATTATTCCATAGTTTAGGGGCCGTAACTGAAAAGGCCCGATCACCCCTATGTTTCAGCCTTACTCTAGGGACAGCCAAAAGCATGCAATCTGCCGACCTAAGCGACCTTGATGGGACATGTTGTTGTATAAGGTCAGAAAGGTAGGTCGGGGCTAGACCATTTAAGGATTTATAAGCAAACACTAAAATTTTAAAATCAATCCTAAAACGTACTGGAAGCCAGTGAAGGGGGGCCAGTCCAGTCACAAGTCTTCTATGGTTTTCAAATTAGGGTTTTAAAAATATTCGTTTTTGCCCATCAGGGCAGAGCTAGATTCAGAAAAAGATCATTTGGTTCATGCAAGTCGTCTAAAATTAAAATAAATAAATTCAAAAAAGGTTTGGAAGAGATTTTCTTTGGTTCAAAAGTTTGGGGTCAGTACATTTTTATTTTATTTTATTGTTAAAGAAATGAATATATTTATTCAATAAGGATGCATTAAAATAATCAAAAGTGAGAGTAAATACATTTATGATGTTACAAAAATGAAATGTATAACGGTTTAAAAAAAGTAGGCAGTACAATTTCAGCACTGATAATAAGAATTATTTCAAATATGCAAATTGGAATTTCTGAAGGCTCATGTGACAATTAAGACTGAAAACAGTTTCAAATTGTAATAATATTCCACAAGATTACTGTTTTTACTGTATTATTGATCAAATAAATGCAGCCATTGTGAGCATAAGAGACTTCTTTCAAAAAAATCCCCACACTTTTGAACGTTGTATACATTTACGTTTACATGTACCCACCTAGGTCTGCATCCTCGAAAAAGAACTGGACAGACATCATCACCTTCCCAGAAGGCTGCAGGTCCACCCAGAACTCTGCACGACCATTGCCTTTTTTGCAGCGCTCAGCAATGACAGAGACCCCGACCGTGGCCTCCGACAAAGCCTCCTCTGCTGTTTTCATCAGGACCACCTGTATGACGCGGCCCTCGTAGATGTGTGCGTCAAATGGGGATTTCCATGCAGGGTACATGGTGGGCTTCCTCTGGACCAACGTCTTCCCTCGCTCTGGGTGGACAAAGAGAGGAAGAAATGCTAATGAAATTACGATGCCTTCTAAGATTCCACATTTTAGCCAAATTCTAAGGCAGCACTGCATTCTGTATATCTTGAGAAGACAATCCCATAAGGTGAAGTTTACCTTGCAGAAAGCATTATGCTCTGTTTGAAAGCCACACTCACCTGTGCTGAGCGATTCCTTCATTTTGATGGCACAGAACGGTTGCTCTGTCATAGGAGGAAGGTCTCCCAGGTTAAATTCATTGAAGGCAATCCGCAGGAACGGAGCCATGGTGAGAGATCACTGTGCCTAAATACAAAAGAAAAAAATTTGATAAAGATCAGAAATCGTATGAAACCTCAACCTACCAAACTGGCAGGCGGTTCTCATGTTTTTCCCCTTCACAAATAGCAGAAGCATCACTTGCTCTGACAAGAAACCCTTTTAGGCAATGATATAAGGCAGTATTTCTTAGAAGATGAGCAAAATATGATGTGTGTGATGTAGATATGTGTGAGAAGAAAAGGGAAGTGAGCTATAGAGAGTGGGGAGTATAGGGAGTGAGCAGTTCATCCTTGCGTGAAATTCATTCAATTTTAATTCTCAAATTGTTATGCTGAGCTGAGAATGTAATTTGTAATGAAAAATTCTGAATTAGAAAAATAAATAATAGAAGCACTTTCATTGGCCTCGGATGTTTGGATTTTAGACACAAAAAACCCCCAACAAAAACAAGCAGGCAAAGATGCAAACAATCTTTTTGTATATACAGTATACTACTCTTCAAAGGTTTGGGGTCGATAAGACTAAGGCTGCATTTATTTGATCAAAAAACAGTAAAAACAGTAATTTTGTGAAATATTATTACAATTTAAAATATTTTTTCTTTTTTTAATATGTTTTAAAATGTAATTTATTCCTGTGATGACAAAGCTACATTTTCAGCATTATTCCAGTCTTCAGTGTCCCATGTTCCTTCAGAAATCATTCTAATATGCTGATTTGCTGCATAAGAAACATTTATTATTATAATCAATGTTGAAAACACACAAGTTGTGCTTTTTAATATTTTTTTTGTGTAAACTATGATACATTTTTTCAGGATTCCTTGAATAGAAAATTCATTTATTTGTCTTAATCTTTTATAACATTTTAAATGACACTTCACTGTTAAGTGACACTTCACTGTCACTTGTGATCAATTTAATGCATCTTTGCTGAATAATTTTTTTTAATTTATTTTAAAAAATGGTAGTATATATAATATACTGCGATCCTTGACATCTTTAACAAGAACTATTCATAAATGCCTCAAAATGTACTAAAGTTTCAGCCTTGTTGCTTCAACTTCCTATTGCAAAACGGTGTGAAATCTTCTCTTTTCCGATAGTTCTTGCATAACACTCACTGCGGATGACCAGCTAGCTAGTTTTGTTTTCCTAACAAGCACAATGTAAGAGTAGAACCTAAATAATTAGTTATTTTTCATAGCCACAAAATTACATAATTTTCCAATCCCAGCCCCTCAGGTAGGACCAGATTCCTGCTTGTATTACTGTTCACACAACGGCTTCACAGAGCTTTGCCAGGATTCTAGGACACAATTGGCCCTTTACTTGGTTTCACAAAATAATCACGGGGATTAAGGGCTTAAATATACACTGCACACACACAAACACAATGGAAAATAAAGTGAATGAAAAATAAAAATGACAGAAGTTCCGTTTTGTATATAGTTATCGGTCACAATAACGCATTAATCTTGAACTTATTTAAATAGATTTATGTAATTTCTGCAGCTGTAACAATCAAAATGGACTTTGGAAAAAAAATTCCTGAACATTCCACTCATCTGTCATTGGTCAGACAAACAGATAGCTCCACCCCAAACTCATGCCATTGGTCGAAACAGTGTTGCTGTTGTCGGGAAATTATCAAACAAACAGATTAATGTTTTGAAAGCACCACAGAGCCACAGTTTTTACAGTTTTCAGGAAAATCAACCTACAAATGACTTTCTGGTCTGTTATTGCATATTATTAAGTACAAAAAAAACCACACACTTCCGCTTAAAACACTGATAGAGCAACTTTCTGTGTCTGGATCGCTCTGCCTCATAATCGCTAAGAGACTATATGTTGAGCAGGTGAAGTGGGCCCATTTGTAATACCACCCATGATGGAGTACTGAGAGACTAATCGAGATGTTGCTCGATGGTTGATTTGCTGATCTGTCACACTTGCACCAAAAGTGTTGAAACCATTCAGATGAGTGACTTGTTTACATCTGCAGGGAGGGAAACCAGAAACCTAAGTCTGTGTATGTAACACCCCAAAATGACGGAGGACATTTTATGTAGGCTTCTCAAAACGTTTCTACGGTTGATTCTATTTTTATTTAAGCTTAAAGTAATCCATCAATACATAAAATATACATGTCCCAACACAAAATACAGAAGGTTTCATTGTGAAGACACTTCACAAGGTTTCATAGATGTGTTATATTATGATATAATGCTCAGAAACACTTGGTGTCCCAAAGCTTAGAAATTGCATGTCCTAAAATGTATGTTATTGGACTAATCTGTGTCACACACAGTATTAAATAATGATACAGAGAGAGCACAGCAGATTTAGATAATTGCTGAAGGTTGTGACAGAGCCTTGCTCCACAAATGATATAATACATGAATTATATCATCATAAAATGATAAATTGAGTTCATTGTAACCAGCTGTAAAAGCTCCCACACAAAACTCTCAAGTATAGAGGGGAAAAACCTGGCAATATTTGCTTTTATCGCCATTATTTTTCCTGGTGATGAGTTATATACTCAAACATCTACAGTGTCAGAGAGTGAGAAAGATCAAAAAAATTATCTGGGACCACACACACACTCAAATGCATATTATGACAAAAATGCATTAATATCAGCTAATAAAACACTTAATCTGTCAAAACATAAACCTCTTACACTCAAAGGCATATGACTACAAAAAAAATGTTTCCCTGGAGAGAGTGGAAAAAATGAGCCCATCCAGCAAGGGAGGGGATGGAGAGAAAATGAGGAAAATGCAGAAAGGGGGGATGGAAGAAAGAAAGCATTGAGTAGCATACTGGAAGTTTAATGTGCTTGCTAAAAATCCAGACTCTTACACCATTCATATACTTGACTGACAGCCTTACTCTATTAACCACTCAATCTTGTCTACAAATCATGATTTGAGAATACAGTAAACATGTCATTATGACAAGGTTTTACGTCATCAATATTAATGTGAAAAGTGTGCTAGTCTCAACAGACAGCGTGTGTGTGTGTGTGTGTGTATCTTTTCAGTAGCCTGGTTCCCTTAGCGGTCTATTAATCTGTCAAGAGAGGTCACCTCCATCACACCCAGATCGGTTGCTACTTAATTAACACACTCTGGTGTGTGTATAGTATACGGGTCTTAATGTGTGCATGGCACTACTTTTAACTCTTATGATGTTAAAACTGGCAAACCACCAGCTTCTATTTTAAACAAATGGAGTAGTGTGCTCAGATTGCACAAATGTGTGCGATGAAGGTAGAAGGATGAGGAACAGACATGATATCCTCACTAATAGGCAACACTTCATCTTCAAGAACGCACAAAAATGAAGGCCAAAGCAGCTAATGATACACTTACTCAGTAAAGTCATGATGGCCACAATATCTATACTGTCTCTATATGGCATGTGTGGGGCCATATGAAGTAGATGTGAAATGTGTCAGTAGCTCTTTTAATGCACCTCCAACAAAAAAATCATTTTGGATAACTGTGATTGGATAACTGGACTAACCAGCAGACCAATTGCATCGCACAGCATCTCAAATGTTGGTTTGAGCCAAATGCCTAAGCCAAAGTCTGATATCAAAATAATTAGGTTTAATACCCACCCAGAAGCATCTCACATGATTGCATTCCCAAACACCAGAAATCCGAACGCAAGAAAACATGCCAGCGTTTATTGAGTTTCGTCTGTGTGCTCTGAGATGCAAGTCATTTATGATGTAGGAAAAAAAGCCATGCATTTTTATTACAGATATTTCATGGCAACATCCCAGGAAGTGACAATTTTGTTCTCTAGAACACAAGATGGAAACGGTTCAAATGTTTTATGCAATATTCCAGTTTTGCGCATAAGTTACATTTGCAACTTTGAATGTAAACACAGCTATTTTCCCCCATGTTACTTTCTTCAATCCCAGTTTAATGTGCAAAAATAACTAGGCATAAGTTAAGTTTAGCTGATTTCCCCCAAAAATGTAAACAAAATGTGTGAGTATTGTGTTCACACTGAAAAACACAAACTTCTGTGGAGATGACACCTAACAAATCAGAAAAAGCTGCAAGTGAAAGCTTTAACTCCGCTTTTAGAATTGTCAAATTTATGTTCCAATACTGTAGAACAACACTATAGTATAATATGTAAAAAGTAATTTTTGGCCACTTTTATTCAACTTGGACTCATGTTAGCCAACATATTTACAGCAAAACAAACAAAAGATGCAGGATTGTATTGTTGGTTTGAGCAGCCAGACACAGCAACACTGGCCTAACACTGGACTGTTCAGGAAATGTTAATGCAAAGTTGTACATGAAATCCTTTGCTCTTCTATTATTCTGCACACTATGCCCACCATATTTTTGATTCTCTCTCTCACAAACATCGTAGACTTTTACATTTTCTTAGAGTGATATAAGGTAAACATATTTGGCTTTCATGTGGGATGCTGGAAGCACTTTCACGAATCTCACATCTCCATATAGATCGAATACATTAATTATCTAAATCTTCGCCCTCTTGCGTTTGACTTTCCCCAAGTTTTATCTATTGGACACATTCTGTTTTTCTTTCTGCGTGGTATTAGTCTCAGCTCACACAGGCTGTGTCTGTTGTGGGGATCTCACTCTGTCTGCGGGTGTTTGTAGTGCCGGCCCTGTATAAGAGTCTCGCTCTGTTCTCTATCTTGCATCAGACAGCTGCTCTGCTCACCTTTTCTTTTTCTTTTCTTTTTTAACACCAAATTGTTCTCGCTCAATATGGGGATGGAAGCAAGCACATATATTTCAGATGATTTCACTATAATACAGATCAAATGGAAAACAGGTTGAAACTTATCTATAAATTTGCTTTTATTCCCTATTGCAATGTATAAGTGAAACGGCTTCTCAAAAAAGAAAAGATGTAGGGACTTGATTTTGTCTATTGGGAATTGATTGGATCGTTGGCGAAGTCATGGATTGTCCTGTAAAAGTGGTGAAATGAAAGTTTGTAAGAGGACAC